AATGAATGTTTGGAAGTGATGTCAGACCCACAAAAACCTACGGATCTGGATGAAGAGAGTCAACCCTCAACCGCCGCAGCTGTCGAGGGTTTTGCCGCTGGAAATGCTAACGCTAACGTTAGCTAACTTTGCAACACTATAGATGGTTTTCTGTGTGGCTGTATCTGTTTATGATTTCATGGAAAAGTCAGTCATTGTTCATATGTTTATGATGTTTATTAATGATTGTTTCAGGTGTTGTTGAGGTGTTGTGCACGCATGTGTATCTGCTAGTGTTGAAGGTGTTTTAGAGAACAATAGGTACGCATGACCACTTCCTTCATAGCACCTGCAGAAAAACAATTCTGGAGCCGCCACTGGTTATAATCTGCTCCAAACAGAAAGCTCTGATGAGACCAATTGTCCTACATCTCACAGTCAGAGCAGAGCTCTGCTTAGCAACTGAGGCAGGCTCGCGTTCCTTACTCCAGTAGTTTCATCTTTAGTTGCAGCTAGAGGTGAATCACAGTGGACTGCAGCTCTCTCTACATCTGACGGCCGAGTCAGCATTTTTGTTACATATGAGCGCCTCTGACACAGCGAGTAACCGGACATGGGTTGTTACAGATTTGTGGCTGACTGAGAGGCTGACTTTTGAAATGATACAATGTTGTTATCAGCAGTTTATACATATTTAAATGTAAATCTGCCCTTTTGGTTTTAGTAGAAATAAAGCATGAAATGAGAGGGGAAAACAAATGAAGCTATGCTAGCATATGCTTGTGATCAAACATGCTGTTTGCATCTCCTGATACTTTAGCTTCCTCCACTATCCATCCACATCAAACAGCTTTGAACTAGCATCACTAATTAGCATTTCTGACCGCCTGCAGGATACAGGCAGGCTGCAAATGAGAAAATAAGCTTTTATCTTTGTTTTAAAAATGGTTCCAGAGCATGAGAGAAGCTAAAAACGACTAAATGCTAAAGTTGTGTGCTAATCTTTTTTTTTTTAATTAACATATTCCTGGACGTTTGACCTCAGAAGATCTAAATATAGAACATTTTGGTCATATCCAACCAAATATGAATAAAATATATATTATTGATGCATGTTATCAAAACCACTCAGAACTAATTATGTAATACGCTCATCGAGTAAAAAGCATTTATTTAAAAAAGGGATGCTCAATGTTAGCTTTTTTATGGATATCGATATGCTGATATTGCCTGACTCCTAATTTCCAATCCTGATATAAACTGATACCATAAATGCTGTGTCCACCTCTCACAAAAAAAGAAAAACTAAAACATTTTAGGTTAATAACATCACATATCTCTTAACATTCAAGCTTTAATTTTAAACAATTTCGACTTCAATCTAAGTTAGTAGCAGGAAAAGTGCCATATTTAATTTGTCTCCAACAGCTGAATCTCATTCTTCCATAAGCATGACTCTAAAATGTTTGTATTAGGTAGTAATGTACTTTACTTCTGTATATTGCAGTTATGGTGATAAAACATTAATAAAACCCTTCAGATAAGACAAACAAGCCTTGTGTGAAGATCCTTGTTTTTGCTTTAGTCGTTTGTTAGCTGTCTAGCTTCAAATATCTACGTGCTGTGAGGACACAGTTCACTACAAACGTCACAAGTTGTGCCAAAAAAACTTTTTAAAAATCCCAAAATCTTTACCTCAGATCTGTCGTATTTTGACATTTTGACAGAAAGGAGAACTAAAGAGTTTGATGTGTATTAAACTGATGTGTATTAAACGTGTAAGGCATGTAGGGATGGGTACCTTTGACATTTGAATCGATTCGGTACTAATTCCCGGTACCTAGGAATCGATACCGGTACTTAACGGTACCAATTTGAGATACCTTTGAGTGTTTAATATTTTAATTCTCTTTTATAATTAAATATGTATTTTTCTCAATATATAACCATATTTGATAAATATCACGATAAATAACATACAACTGTTTGTATTTTAACATCGTCCTTGTAGTTTTATAAGCTGATAATTAAACTGAAGCAAACATCTTTACTGTGAACTAAATTTACTGTGTATCTTCATTCCTTTTACCGTCCTTTTTCATTTGATTTTTCCTACTGGGAAGTTAGAATTTCCAAGGAGAAAGCGAATGCACCATTAGCTGATAACAATGGCGGCAATGGAAGCTAATTTATCAAGCTAACGTTATCTTAAACAGTTTATTTAGCTGCTGGAGCAGATTAAAACGATGATGCCTCACACTTACATCGTTGTCGCTGGTTTCATCTTCACCCAATCACCCGTCACATTTAGTAAAGTGAAGCCAAACTTTAGAGCACGTTCATGTTCTCCTAGTCGGAAATTCTGAGTTCTGAGGAGAATGCGAACGCACCATTAGCGGAACGGAAGCTAACAAATCAAGCTAACGTTATCTTAAACATTTTATTTACCTACCGGAGCAGATTAAGATGAGGATGTCTCACTTAGATCGTTGTCGCTGGTTTCATCATCACCCAGTTACCCATCACATTTAGTGAAGTGGACCCAAGCTTTAGCGTGCGTTCTTTCTACCATGCTGCTCTGTTTACAACTGGCTCGCAGCGAGCGACGACATAACGCTCTTGCGCATGCGCAGCTGTCTAGGCAAGTTCTCGTTATGAAGGACGGGTACCGAAACGAGGCACCGTTTCAAATGACGTGAATCGGTGCTCAGTCGGTACTATGGAATTTGGTCGGTACCTTAAATAGTACCGAATTCGGTACCCATCGTTAATGGCATGTAAAAATGGTGTCATTAAAAACACTGAAAACCGATACCGATATTTCCCAATATTAAAAATTTTAATGCCCACATCGGCCGATATTAATGGTAGACCAATCAAACATCCCTGATCTAAACCATATGATTTGACATGACCTGTTACAATAAAACATGATAGAGTAATAATAATAGTAATAATAATGTCAGAACCATATCTTCACTAATTTTCCATTTTGTTCTTTAAACCACAGAAATCTGAAATAAACCTAACTGGGTTCTTTGTGTTTTTTCTCCATCTCAAAAGATCCTAATAGAGATAACGTAAGGTTCATCCTACATAGTTCTGCCCACTGGTGCGCTGAGCCAAAGGGAAATGGTGTCAGTGAAGGAAAGAATCAGTGGGCGTTTGTCAACAGGACCACAGCGATGGGCCGGTGCTGTGATCGGCCCAACCTGGTACTAACCAGGCCACTGACACCGTCTCCAGGTTTTATAGGCCGGTCAGAACGGTTAGTCATGGCCAGTCCCGTGGTTCTATAGGGGAAGAGTGGTGTGATGCAATGCAGTCAAAGGTGTGTGTCTCAGCCACCCTGGATCAGACCAAAGTTGTTTTCAGTCATTTTCAAACAAACAGAATGAAAGCAGTAAAAACAAAAACGATGGTAATAACCTGTTTATGTTTAATATGAGACAGAAACGCTGGTATGAATGCATTTAAAGGTAAATCAGAATTTGCCCAAGCTGCTGTTAAATAGTTTGAGATTAAAGATGCTTCAGGATGGAAGAGATGAGAGTCATATCACTGTGGCTAGCCGTTAGCCTATCTATCTGGTCAGAATTCATCCCAAATGAGAGTGTGAAAAGTTTTAACCTCTCTTAATAAAGCCCTAGTGGTGTGAGTGTCCACCCTGGGACTGGGAGATTGTGGGTTCAAATCCCAGTCGGGTCATACCAAAGACTAAAAATGGGACCCAGTGTTTCACTGCGTGACACCCAGCATTAAGAGGTTGGATTTGGGGTTTAAACCACCATAAAGCTCCCGAGCACAGCCACTGCTGCAGCCTACAAGAATGGGTCAAATGTGGAGATGTAATTTCACCAGTGTGTGATGATGACTATGGGACTTTGAACATGCATTGTTATAGTAATAACACCTGCAACGCCAGCCTCCAGAGGGTTAACACTATCCAGTCCAGCTCAGCCTACCTGACTGACTTGTTGCAACCTAATTAAACCTGAGCAAATAACCAGGTCATCTCCTAAAATGTAGCTAACGTGGTCACGTTCCCCATGACTGATGCTGTTTTCAAGGTAAAGCTGGAAAACTGAAAGTAAAACCTGAAGTTTCTGTTCAGACTGTGCCAGCACACACAGGATAATGGTGATGTAAACCAGTGTAACTCTATCAGGGCGTATTAAGTGTCCTAGCATGTTGTGTTTCAGGGCGTGACTTGTTCCAGTAAGAAAGAGGATGTGTCTGAGAGTCATTATCTTCCACTCCCTAGTCCAGGATAAATCACAATTCTATTGATTCTCACGAGCTCCCTTCCAGGGAATCTGTGTTCATTACAACAGGAAGATATGTGGCGTGGTTTCGGCATTCTTCAAGGATCTCTCCTGAGGCTCAGGCAGCAGCAGGGTGATGAATGTTTACGCTGCTATACGCTTGGGGAAAATAAGACAGGTGCTGTGGTCCAAAACCCTAAAGCAAGTCCTCCACAGGGAGCTCGGGAATACCGTGCTTCCTTCATGGTCCGATACCTGGGATGGATCATCAGCATCCACGATTGATTCTGTTGCATTGGTTTTCGCTCATCCTTACAGATGGTTGTGGTTACCGTGGCAATGATATCAGGCTTGCATGGTAGAATGTGCAAACACTGCTAGCTCCCAGGTTGTCTTGCAAGGCAAGGAAAGACGTACACGAGCCATAGGGAAGGAAAGTGTGCTCTAGGACAAAAAAACTGGTGAAACTAAAGAAGGATGCAAGCCAAGATACTTAAAAAGTGCTTCATGGGAGCAAATCCTGCTCTGGGTGTTCCGTAAGAGATCATCAGGGTCAGTACGAAGGGTATAAGCTCCTCGCTCGCTTTAGAATAACAGTCCCATCTGTCAGCCGACTTCGTCTAGAACATTCGGTTCAAATGTCAGTCTAAACTTGACCATCTTCGCCACACATGCAGGATATTTACTCCATTTAGCTACTTCATCTGGGTCAAAGACTTGACAAAAGCTTTAAAGCAAATAGACACAGATGCCTACCTGGTAAACAAATCCTTTACTGAGATCCACTGAGAGCATGGTGAGGTCAGAGAGGGGATGCCCTTTAACTCGCCTTGCTCTTGCAGCGATGATCAGATAGAAAACCAAACCCCAAGGCCAGAGACAGTGTCAGTGGGCTTGTGGTACACGAAAGAAAATGCAGTCCAACACCTCTTCTCAGCTGCTTTCATCGGCTGCTCTTCCCATGCTGGAACACGGAAGCAGCCTGGCTTCCCTGAAAGCTTCGCCGCATTAGCGTTAGGGAGTAGCACAGCCCCAGCTCCTGCCTCCGACGCCTCGCATCCCCGGCAGCATCAAATGCTTCACACAAGCGTCCATCCGCCAATCCTCCCAGAGAGATTAGCGCTCTGACATCACTGATGCTGCGCTGTGCACTGTTCTGCTCGGCTGAGTCTCTGAGCTCTGTGGCAGAGCCACTATAGGAGACGGGGACACCATCCTGTCAGAGGACGTCCTGGTGCACCTCACCTCACGGCTGCAGCACAGGTCACAGCAGAGGAGACTGTGAGCACCGTAGCTGCTGCAGACCAGCTGATCACAGCCGGTGTGTGTGTGTGTGTGTGTGTGTGTCTGGGTGAGTGTGTGTCTGCAAGAGCCTACCTGGGATAAAGAAGCTGCTTTCTGGATGCAACGCATTGTCAGCAAAACGTTGACGGCTGCAGAGTGTGCTAGAAACGAATCTGGAAGAAGTGGATTTTCCTTCTGTGCTCCTGTGGCCTGCTAACGATGCACCTGGGAGTTTTAGGCAGACAAAGGGAGAAACCCCCAGCTTCCACTAGCCTCGCTACTACTCACCAATCCACCACTCTACAGGCCTCTACGCTCACCTCTGACCATCTGTCTCTCACCTTCTGCAACCAGCCCTGTTTCCTCTTCCTCCACCTATCTCCCTCTCCTCCCCTCTGCTCCTCTGGCACTGCTATAATTAACTGTGAAGGGAGTGCAGACGCTGCTCGCTGCAGTGAGGCTTCCTGCTCGCTCTCGACAGTCACCAATTGAGATTTCACACTGATCCATGAACAGAGCGCTCAAAAGAATAAGCCAGGGAGACTTCAGCACACCTTTTCTCAATGCGCCCCAGGGCAGCTGTAGCTACATCGTAGCTCATCCCCACCAGTGTGTGAATGTGTGTGTGAATGGGTGAATGACTCGTTGTGTTGTAAAGCACCTTGGGGGGGTTCTAGGACTCTAGAAGGCGCTAGATCAAATACAGGCCAACATGGCCGACAGTCTGTCGCTGGATCTGGGTTTTAATTATGACTACAAGCAATCAGGACAAGCTCTGCTTGAGTTTAATTGAGTTAATGGATCTCTCTTTCAGACTAATGGTAGAACTTCTGGTTTGTGATTGGGAGGAAAGCGTCTATCTAATAAAACCATCACTAAACTCTCAGAGCAAACAATGATACCATGAAGATGTTAGTTTATACATAAACAAAAATACCAGAGACATCATTTCTGCTTTATTTGTTTTTGTTTCTGTTCTCCACCACAGCTGTCCTACAGGTATCATTGTTTAGCTAACGTTTCCTATCCAAAAACTGGGGATGCACGAAATATCTGCATAAGCATCAGTATTGTAAGCGCAGATGTGAGTGTATGTACGCACACGTACGCTTACGATAAAGATGTCAACACATACAGTACAAAGGTGTTAGACAAGTGTGGATAATTCAAAGAGTGCTCTCAAAAGTACAAGTGTTAATCATTTATTTTCACCAATCAACAATAATAAGCAAATCAACAAAAGTGAAATCTAAATCAAATCAATTTGGGTGTGACCACCCTTTGCCTTCAAAACATCAACTCTTCCAGGTATAGTTGCAAATATTCTTTTATTGTGACATCACAAATGGGGACTTTTTGAAACGGCTCTTTTTAGGCATATAATTCCTGAAACCAAACACTCACAAATATTGAATGGATGTTTTTTTCCACGTTTGTTGTGTTTATAGAGACCCATGTTCGTGTTTTATCAGCAGGTTTTCGAGGAAAGTACTGTTTCTGTTAATGAGCTGTTACAAAAAAGCAAATCAAATAAAATACATTTTGTTTTTTTAATGATAGAAATACAATTGTTGAATTTAGAGAAAGTACATTTGTTATCCTTGTTTGGCCCTTAATGAAATTCAAGACTTCTAAAACCGAAAAGTCTAATCTTCTAAAACTTAATCCTTCTAATAAAGGATCAGTCTCATTATTCACATTCTGAGACTCTAATCCTCGCTTAAGTCACATGAAGTTCGTGAAAAACCTTTGAAATTTACAATACAACAAATACTAATTCTAGTTGGTCATGGTGGTGGTTTTGCTGTGATCCTGTGGTCCCCATGTAAGCTGCAGCAGTGCCTTCTGCTGTTTGGATGAAGCTAACAGCTACTGGGCGCTGTTTTAGAAGATGCTTAATTCACTGACATGAGAGCTGCATTAATCTCATCAAATGCTAAGCTGCTGTGAGTGACCCACACAACACACACACCCACTCACCAAAGCCGCATCATCTTATTCGTCACTACAAGCAACATGTAGCTGTTTGCTAGCAAACAGTTAGCACAATCAAGCACTTATTACAGGCAGGCTAGGTTTGGGTTAGCATTACATCTACTTTATCAGAGGTCCATTTTCATTAAAACTTTCAATTACATTTTTTAATTCATTCATTTTCATGAATTTTAACATTTTATTATAGCCCTATAATTAACCTGCGTCCCCTCCCTTTCCGGTCGGCCGGAAAAACGAAAAAATGAATGCAAGTCAACAGGGCTAAAAGACCTATTTTCTAATCCGCTTTGCCTTACGCCCTGGGTCCCACATATGTTGTAATTCGATTTAAATGAAAAGTAATGATGGGTGTTTCAACCACTCCACTCACAAACTGAGATTTATCAGCTTGTAAAAGTTCGTAATTAGCATGACTACAAATCAGACGTCGGTACGTCGCATATGGGACGTCACCACACAATCTCCTCTCCCCTAGCGTAGCTGCTATTCACAACATGGCCAGATTTTCCTCCTGAAGGAAGGATGTGAAGTTCACTGAACTTACAGCCATTTTTTCTCGGCTTTTCTCCGTGTCTGGTTCCATGACGTCACTTTCGTGAAGCACATTTGTAGTCCAAGACTTATTTTCACACAAAAAAACCTAAAAACACTTTTCTCCCTGTTCAAGTACAAGCACGTTCTCGGCATCAAAATGCATCTTAAAATTTTACGCACATCATCTGTGATGGCACTTAACAAGCAGAATTAGAAAATAGTGTTTTTAGCCCTATTGACTTACATTCACTTTTTCGTTCTTCCGGGGACCCGTAGTCCGGTGTCGGTACAGGATCTGCTCGGGTGCAAGATCGGCTTGGGGTCCTTCGACTGCCGATTACGTCAAACTACGGCAAACCCACTCGGACAAAACACACTACAAATCTATACTGTTGGAAAGAATTTAGCAGTTTCGTTATTAAAATAATGTTTATTAAGATGTAAGTTTGTGTTTATAACGGTATTTGTAAAATAAAACACTATATTGTATTCATAATGTTGAACTCCTCTTTGAGCACATCCCTTGAAGGATCATAGGAATTAGTTTTCTGGCTTTACTAAAATACTTGTCTGTACTTATTTGGTTGATGGTAGTTTTACTTTCTATTAGACCCCAAATGTAATCATTTGGCACGTTTCAAATTCATAATTTGTAAGAATGTAATCGGTGATATTAGCATTAGCATTCCTATGGGTTTTTCCACGTATATTAGCATTGTGCTAACCACTCGCTGCCAAATTGCAGCTTTTGCGATTAGAAAATCTCCTTTTGTCACATCGCAATTTAATTGCACATGCAGTTAATCGTTCAGCCCTAATATACATGCAGCTCTATGCTAAAAGTGTATTTTCAAAGAGGTAATGATGGATTTCTTTGTAAAAGTTGTCCATCTTTCCAACAGAAAGATTTGCCTGGACCAACGTAACGTGATAACAACGTAATGTGATTACGTAATTCCGTAAGGTTCATGTTCAGCCAATCAACTACTTAGACGTTATCGGCGGTCGACGGACCCCGAACCGATCTTGCTCCCGAGCAGATTTGTACCGACACCGGTAGTAGATGGGCGTGACGTAGGCTCCCTATTATAATAATCAATTTGTCACATTATAACTTCCTATCTTACAATCTCTTATTATACAAGATTTTCATTTATTTTTGACATGCATGATGGTTTTGTATTTGTTTAATAATATGAATGTCTATTACATATAAAAGTAAAATACCGTATTGCTTGTACTGGATTTAGATAACTACAACTTTTTAAATCACATCACTTCTAAAACTTTCAAACAACTTGTCAGAAATTTTGGGGCTTTTTTAAATTTATTTATTTATTTATTTTTTAGTGATAAACTTTTTTCCAACCAGTCATCTCTGCCCAATCCTAGTGTAGGTTTTTGTAGCTGGGCCAGTGGTAGACACGTTGTGCCTGTCTTCAGTCTGGCTCTCAGCCGCCCGTTGCATAAGTAATTTTTAGTCAGAGCGGCTGACATTCTGTCCAAACACACATCTAAACTCTTCACCGGCCGTTCGGGAGCCTGTCTACTCTCTGGTGGATAGGAGTCCTTACTCTGCTTAATTCTCATTATTGATTGTTAGCCTGCTGTGGATTCCAGATGTGACAATTTTCATTAAAAAAAACAGCAATCTGGCTAATAAAGACACCCAAATACAGCTGTCTGGTATTAATGTAGATTACATACTGAATAAATAAAACAAATAAACAAGTGTTTTGTTTTTCTTTACATCAGCTTTTTACCACTTTGAATTAAAAAGCATCGGATTTTTTTTATTATTACAATAAAGAATAAACTAATAATGGCCATCAATATAAATGACATTTTAAGAGCCCTTTCAAAATAAATGCAATATTTAAACTAAGTTAGATTTATTTTACCAGTGTGAGAAAATTGATTACGTTTAACAATCAATATCTAAATGCATACTTGATCATGCTTTTATTGGAGAAACATATTTTGTTCTGACCAGAGCTAAAGGCTAATTAGCCCAGAGCTAAGACTAAGGTAAATTTCAGCTCACCTAATATGATTTCAGTTTCAAACACTTCACACTAAAGGTATTCTACCAGGAATATTCAGGTATGAGCTGCAGTGGAAATGTTGCAGGTAGATAGCTGCTACTGCTGTCATGAGTGTTGTTATGATGTAATACTGTATAAAGCAGTAATAACGCAAATGCTGTTAGCTTTGATTGGTTTCAGTTGTTTTAAGAAGCTAGCCTCAGTTGAATTAGCCATTAGCTTGACTCCAACTCATTAAATATTTGTGAGTGTTTAGTTTCAGGAATTATATGCCTAAAAGGAGCTGTTTAAAAAAGTTCCCATTTGTGATGTCACAATATTTGTTTGAATATTTACAACTATAGGAGTTGATGTTGTGAAGGCAAAGGGCGGTCATACAAAACTGATTTGATTTAGATTTCTCTTTTGTTCATTCACTGCTTAATGTTGATTGGTGAAGGCTGTCTTACAGAAGCCCAAAGGGCTACCATGGTGTATAGTATACTACTATATAGGGGTGTAACGGTACACTAAAATCGTATTCGGTTCGGTTCAGTGTTTTGAAGAGCTTGGTTTGATTAATTTTCGGTATATTATTTTTATTTATTTATTTATTGTACCGAAGCGGCTCCTATAGTGAGCAGAACCAGGTGTCATCACAGGCTGCTGATCTAGCATGATGTCTTCAATTATTTCACAGGTAATTTGGGCAGCTATGAGTGTCACGCTGATACAGACAAGTGTTGTGTTTGACTGTTGATGTTCTGTGTTTTTATTTCTGCAGCGAGCCTTAAACACTAACCTCACGTCGCCCAGAGTCTCTTCTTTAAAACTCGCATTAAATAACGAGCTTCCTCCGTGCCGTGTTTTTTGTTGTAGGAAGTAGGAAGCTGAGTTGCCGGATCCGGATACCGGAACGTGTCCTTTCAAAATAAGACCGGCTCAGATAAGCTCTGCCTCTAATGACAGTTATCTTCGTTTGTGTGCGTTGAAACCACCAGCTGCGCCTCCGCGCCGTGAACCTGTTTCCGACTTCACAGACGATCACGTAAGCAATGTTACTTATGAAGCTAACAGCCCAGACGAAGCCATCTGATATCTGCAGCGTTGAGACTGCAAGGCATGTGGAGTCCTGGGAACACGCTAACGCTAAAGCTCTACTGGACCAGCTGGACAGAACATCACCATGGCAACAATGTTATGAATGTACTTTTCTTTGGAATCTTTAACACTTTTTCTTGAAAATCTTTAGGATTTATGGTGAACAGTATTTATTATCTGGTTGTTTATATTAGTTCAGTGCCTAAAATGTGCAGTTGGTTGTAGTCTGCATTGCTGCCACTAGAGGGCACTACACTTGATGTACTGAGCCTTTAACTTTCAATTTATCTCACGGAAAAAAGCTTCTCAACAGACATATGTAACATGTACAGGGATGTGTAACTAAGATCTGCAATTTAATGTAAAAAAAATTAGAAACTGCACAATTTACAAAAATTTTGCATTTTGTTTCTGCGATTTTAACAATAAAAAAAAGTTCTTATTGTGTTTTAATTATTTTCAGTATTAATGCAAGTGTTGTTGTACTCACCGTATCTTTATGTTCTTGAGAACTTTGCTCCTGAAAACAGTTACAGAAGATGAAATTAAATTAGCATTGCTGTTCAGACAATGCAAATGAACCTTTATATCTTAGCTTATGGAATAGACTTCATTTGGAAAAATATAGGTTAGTCCTGACTAATCACCGAGACAGAGGAGCTAACAGCAATCTCAGAAATGTCGTACAAATAGTGTTTTATCAGTTTTATGTTAATAAAATCTTTTATTTCTGGCTTTGTATGACACCGAAGCCAAAAGTGCTCCATTAGTTAGCACCAAAGCTAATTTTGTCTGCAAATAGCATCAGGAATTCAATGTAAATAAACATATAAGTGGAGTTTATGATGGTGACAGCAGAATCAAGCCATTAGCTGATCTTTTGACAGAAGTAGTCTTTGTTTCTCCAAACTGAGGCCATTCATAGAGCTCTCTGCAACTTGCTGCAACAGGTAATAACTCCCCACAGAAAGGTGGTTTATTTTTCAACATTTAAAGGCTCAAGTAACTGATTATTGCTTCCATGGTTGACCTTGGAGAACTTGGAGGTTCTCACCATACCACCACCTCACCCATGCACATCCTGGAGAAACTATGACAACGCGTGCAGCTTGCTGCGTAGGAGGAAGAACCTGGAAGGCAGCAATGACTTACAGTGACAAGGAAGCGTCCATACCGCATTAAGACTGCAGGGGAGCAAGAGCAGCCATTCCCTGTCAGGCTGAGGAGAACTCAGTCATCACATCCCCCGAATCAAACAGCTGGGGTACTGATCAGCCTCCACTGAAACACGGTTCATCTTTTCTTCCACTTTATGGCACAATCCCACCGGAACGTTAAAGAAGATGCAGAGCCAGTCTTACCTTCAGTCTCCAACAACATGTCAAGTGTCAATCCTCTATTTCACCCCAGTTTCTGAGGACTGGGCATAATTAAAGGGAGATTTGGCTTAATTCTGCACTTCTAACAGAAAAATGACAGGTGGTCACATACAGCTGAGGGAACATCTTGAACCCACGTCCTCACAGCAGGTTACTGATTGGTCGGTTAGGTAACGTATAGATTATTTCTGAGAAGGTAATTATGAAGAATAACTGTTGCTGCTGCTGATTAATGACAGGATGGTCTCTGTGAGCATCACATGTACATATGTTTTATGCTAATTTGAATTAAACTGACGCAGTAGCAGCAGAAGGACGTTGGATCCTCACCGTTGGTAAAAGCGGCTCCATTTGGGCTCCCTGGTCCGTGATGTCCATCTTTTCCTCTCCTCCTTTGGGCTGGGAAGAACCAGGCTGCTCCTCTGCGTCAGGCGGCTGCTCGGTCCTGGTATCGGTCGGTCCGTCCGCCTCCCTCTACACTCTCACCGGCCGGGTTTTCTTAAATGGAGGTGGCAAAGTGTTCCCGTCCTGCCCCACATCGTTTACGCACGAAGGAGGGGAGGAAACGCGTCTGTGGAGGGGAGCGCACAGGAGGGCGCGCGCTCATTCGAGAAAGGGGGTTCGGCTTCAATCGGGGTCTCTAATCTCATATTTATCATCTAATCATGATTTCAGGGGGAAAAAATCGTACATCGGTGACTCATGCTGGATTATTTTTTGACATTTCCAACCACTCAATGGAGCACGCGCTGAAAAGCACAAGCATCGGAAGGAAGCACATGCTTCCGCTCTGAGCTCTGATTATGTTATGATAAAGAATAAACGTGTGTTTCAGCTCCGTAAACATACGCAGCGTGTGTCTCAGAGAGGTAGCCATCATCACAGCCCCGGTTCTTGTTGCAGCACGCGATGTTCCACCCGTTCTGGCCCAAATCACGCAGATAAAGATGGTGCACTGGCGCCACCTGCCGGTCACTCACAGGAACGGCACATAAACATTTTGAAACTAGTAAAAAGAATAAATATTAATATATTGAACTAAAAAGGGACTAAAATAAAATAAATATTTAAAATAGGAACATTCATTTTATTGAAAAATAGGTATTTTTTATTCTGGTTCAGGAGAAAAACAAATGATGCTAGGACCTTCAGCGTAACATTGAGTTGTTCGGCCTTTCGAGAGATTTTTCTGGTACTCCGACTGAGACCGCTTGTCCTCAAGGGACCTTGGTCCAATCCACTGAGACTTCAGACTGACTTGAATATGGAGACATCTGCGATGCTCCAGGGCACACCTGAGTTTAACTGACACTCTAGTGGTATGAATAGAATAGAATAGAATAGAATAGAATTGAATTGAATTTATTGATCCTACAGTGGGGAAATTCATTTGTTACAGCAGTACAAATACTTAAGAGGATAATTTGAAGAAAAATAATAACAAAGGTACATGTAAATACATAGGCGGTAATCAAGTATTGTAACCTTCGACCACTAAAAAAACACAAATAAAAAGTTTTAAAAACTTGGGTTCCAACGCAGCATACATAAAGACACAGGCATACAATGTAAATCCGGTATTGCACGAGTAGTGAACACATACTGACGCCAGTACCAGTTAAACTAAGGAGTTATACACTCGTACTGCAGAGGGGATGCATGACCTACGGTAGCGTTCTGTTTTACATCTGGGATGTCTCAGTCTGCCTCTGAAGGAGCTGTCCATGGTCTCCACAGTGGAATGCAGTGGGTGGTTTATTTATTTTTATTTTTTTTAAGATGGAGGTCATCTTCCCCAGCATCCTTCTTTCACAAGTCTCCATAGACACAGTTTTAAGGGGGACTGGGGCGACATGCCCCCCCCCCTCCTTTTTTTTCCAAGTAAAATTTTGACCTCTGCACTTTTTACTGTCCAAAAACAATATTACGCTATATTAAATGGACACTGGTTGAGCACAAGGACCAAGTAGAAAACATCAGTTTGTGTTGAAGCCTGTTTACCATTACATATTTTTTGTACTTACTGTAAAGATCCCCCACAGTAAGTTCTGGTTCTCCTGCCAGTTGTAACTGCAGGTGGACACCAGATTGAGGAGCTCAGGGCCGCAGAGAGCGTTCATGTTTTTGAGAACAGGCTCAAGACTCACCTTTAAGCTTAGCTTTTAACTGATTATTTTTATTACTGATTCATTCATTTTATCTTCACACGTTCTATATAAAACTTCTATCAGAAATTCACCATCTTCTAAAACTTATTTTATCTTTTTCCAGTGTTTCCTCTTTGGGAGCCCTCTGCCCCGGGGGCGGTGGTTGGTTGTGGCAGCCTGGGTTCTTTCCGGTTGTGCCTGGGTGGAGGTGGGGGGTCTCCGCCCTCCCTCCCCTGGGCACCCTGTGTCGGTGCATCGGCTGCTGTTGTGGATCTGCTGCTGTCAGGGCAGATAACTCCCCTGATGGTGTTTTCTTAGCTTCATCTGACCTCAGCCCAGTGTGTTCCCTTTTTTATCTAATGTCCTTAAGCGTGTGTGTCAGATGATGAGTGTAATGGGGTGTATTATTGTCATATTGGTTTTATATTTATTGGGAGGGAGGAAATGTGGGTGTGGGGTCATTTTAATTTGTAAAGCACTTTGAGTTGCATTTATTGTATGAGTTGTGCTATATAAATAAAGTTTTGATTAATTAATTGAAGAAACGAATAATCTAATAAGTGTGAATTAAATACATGTTATTATTTCTTCATAGGTGAATGGAGGCACCGCTCCTGTCTTTGCCCTGGGGTTTGTTTTTACTCATTCCGCCCATGCACGATAACCCGTTTTTAGTCAGAAGGATCCTCATCATCATCTCCCTAGGTTCGTTCCCGAGGCCGTCAGGATGCTGCTGCTGAATCGGATCCGCTTCCGCCCAGATCGGCGTCACACCACCGACAAGATGGCTGAGATTACGGCTCCAAAGTGAGGGAGGAAGTAAAAACAGTGGCGAGCTCTTCTTGCTGAAGATGCCAGACCTCCAGAGCTGCTGAAGGCCGGTTCGGAGGCAGAGATATCAACCCTGGGTTTATCTTCCGGGCTCAGTTCTGCGGGTCCAGTTAGACGGATGTAAACAAACCGCTCCGGAGCAGCGCGAGGACGGAACGTCTATCACAGAGCTAACCTGCTAGCCATGTTTACTAGCTGACAGCACCGTTAGAAAGCTCGCGCGGTTCCACAAAGTGACACTTTGGATGGTTTCCAGACCAGTAAGAGTCCCTTCCTAGCCTCCACTGAGAACCAGGACCCGCTGCTGCGGCACACGTTTCTGGCGATTTAAATTGGATTTAACGCTTAGCTAATGCGGCTCCAGCTGGTTAGCATGCTAACATTGCGGATTTCTCAGAGTTAGCATTAGCAGCTGTGTGAGTTTGCTTCGACCCAGGACACCAAAGGGTTTGAGGAGGATTTTTCTATTGTTCAGAGGTGAGAGAGAAGTCCGCGCAGAGCTGGGGAACCAGGAGTCCAGCTGGATTACGAACATTAAAGGCACCACCGCTCGGTCTGGGAATACAAGTGAAGCCCAGGAGAGTTAAGCCCTGTCGGCTGCAGCATGGCCCACTCTCCCGTACAGGGCAACCTGCCGGGGATGCAGGTAAGACTTGGCGTCGGTTTCTCTTTAACGCAGGGGAGGTCGGCCAGAACATAATGTACACGGTTTCTGCGGCGGGGTGTGTGTGTGTGTGACGTTTAGGGGCTTCTGTGAAGCTCGTGCATTTCACATTAGACACCAAACAGCAGTTCGATCATCTCCTTGACCTTTACAATAACTGAAATCTAACAATAAAAGGATAACGATCACTGGATGAACTGAGAGCAGGTAGATTACATATTTCAGTATAGACCCTTAGTCCAGCTGACAGCATGTGGTCAAATCTTCCCAAAGTTTGATAAAGGACCATCAAAGCAACCTATCACTAATCTGTCTGGTTTTAATCGCCCACCACCACACACACACACACCCACAGCTTTGAAGGTGACATGCCAATCATACATGAAATAATGCAGCATAACCTGGAACAGTACGAACTTTGGATGTTAGCCTTAATGCGACGGACACAAAATGAGCTAAAATAAGCTGCAAGAAGGTTGTACACAACTGATTATGTATGTAGCAGGTTTCTCTAGACCAGGGCGTCCATTCAGCATGTTTTATTTATTTCTCTGCTCCAACGCACTATAGTTCAGTGTTTCCCCAACTCTGGTCCTCAGGGCGCACTGACCTGAATATCTTCCATGTCTCTGCTTCAGCACACCTGATTTGCATTGCCTCCTCAGGGGGACATCAAGTGCTGCAGATGCCTGTTAATCCCTCGTTCATTTAAGTCAGGTGTGTGGGTGTTTAAAAGGGCAACATGGAAAACATGCAGGACAATGTGCCTTGAGGACCAGAGTTGGGAAACCCTGCTGTAGTCAGTGGTTGAATCACCTGTTCAGCTGGCTCTGCAGAAGCCACTTAAACACCTGCTGATTAAAACCAGGTGTGTTGAAGCAAGAGACAACATGCTAAACCCCCAACTAGATTTGGGCTATCTGTGGTTACCAAGGCAACCTAATGAGCTTCTGGTGGTTACCATGATGACCTTACTGAAGGGAAAGCGGGACCTTGATGACCTAAACGAGCCACTGGTTGTTACCATTAGCCTTATCAGGGGTTGAAATTAAGGCCCTGTCCACACGTAGCCGGGGATCTGCCAAAACGTAGATATTTTTCTACGTTTTGGCCTGTCATCCACACGAAAACGGAGTTTTTTCACACGAAAACGGATCTTTTTAAAATCTCCGGCCAAAGTGAAGATCTGCGTTTTCTCCGTTTTGGGTGTCTGCGTGTTGTCAGACAAAACCGGAGTTTTAAGGTCCGCAACGTCACTTTCCACGACAAAAAATGCTGACATCACGTGTGCGACCTGTGTTTACACTAGCCGACAGCATGGATGCCCTCAGAGCTGAGCTCGCTTTATCAATTGTCCAAGCGCTTTCTGCTTGTTTGTTTTTGCAAGCGGAATTACTGCTCCTTGCGGAAGACCACAGACGAAGGACGAGGTTAAGAACGGGGGAAGTACTGCCGCCTACAGGTCTGGCATGTCCTTAACAACGTATTTATCCGGGTACGTGTGGACAGAGTTTTCTTTTAAAACGAGGTGGTGTGGATGCAAGTTTTTGGAGGGGAGGATATTCGTTTAAAAAAAAAAACGGCTACGTGTGGACTAGACCTAAGTACACAACCAACCGGCCAGCTAAGAATCTTCCGGCCCCCCAGGCCGTCTCCTAAAACGAGTAAAAATCACAACTGAACCACCGTTTTAAACATAATAAACTTTTATTATGTTCATATTTAAAACCAGCACTGTGTCAAGCTCTGGCACCATAGTGTTGCAGGCTGAATATTTGGCTAGTGGTTTCTCGTAGTCTTTGGTTCCAGATATTACTCCATCTCAAAGTTCTTCTTAAGCTCATCCTCATACGTCTTGCTCCTCGTGGAGAGCAAGCGGGCCTGACCCACGCACATGAAGTCTTCCTCTGGTTCTTGTCGTCGATCTCGGGACCAGTTGAAGGGTGTTTCTCAATGCCAAGGAACCTTGCCTTGACGTCTTGGCCCCGCCCCGGTTGCCAAGGAGATACGTCACCTGGAGCCGCCAAGAAGTTTTCCAATATTCATGTTCTACCGAGGCGTGTGTTCTAGGGATGCAACGATACCACTTTTTTCCAAACCGATACGATACCGATACTTGGCTCTGGGTACTCGCCGATACCGTTTACCAATACCGATACTTATACCACACAAAAAAATGCAATGATTTGGAATACTGGTTTTATTTTCTTCTCTGCTTTCAGCAGGAAAAGACTATGAGGAAGGTAAAAAGTAAAATATATGAATGGAAATCATCACAAAACTAAAATATTAGGTGAACAGAAATGACAAGTTACAGGGAAGCCATTTTCAAGCAACTGCATTGATATCGGTTCCTGGTATCGGTTAACCTTTACCGATACGATACTGGTACTGGTATCGGTATTGGTGCCGATACCAGTATCGTATCGGTGTATCCCTAGTAGGGGTTGTTCGAACTAGTCGACTAGTCGACTTCACGGCTCTGTGGTGACTTTTATGCCTGTCATCGACTAGTCGCTGTCACGTGATAATGACTGACAAGATGCAGTCCACGGAAAAGACAGCAGGTGATGAGCCCCTGCGCGTCTGGATCGAGGCGGAGGCGACTCGCTGTGCCAGAGCGTCGGTACTGACACCGGCGGTAAAACGGACATTTAACCAAACTGTGACCTTTCCCTCTTGCAATTTAACTTTCCCCTCACCCCCATCCTAATCTTAACCAGTTTGTGCATGCAAAGCTCTGATCGTTGACGTGCTCCAGACATTGCGTCCTGAACACCGCCAAATCAGGTGTCACCACCTCAAAAACAAATTAAACACGCGATCGTTCATGTCGGCTCATTTCCTTTCATGTTTTCTGTCTGTTATTTGTGCCTGATGCATTTTGCTGCTGCGGAGCGAGGCGCATCACCTGTTGTCCTCCGGTGACGCACCCCCAAAATTCCACTATCTCCACTCCGCTGTTTTTGCGGTCGGTAGATCTTTTAGAACTGCAGCTCAAAGGTAACTCATGAGGTGAATATATATGAACCCAGGTAGCAGTTTTTCTTTAGGATTGAGAGGAGATGCTGGAAGATAATAAACAGACAGGACAGAAAAATAGTCAAATAAAAACAAGTTAGTTTTTGTACCTGCTGGTTGCAACAAACAGACACCACTGAAGGTAATCAGAAGTGAGGAACAGAAAATGAAATAATTATTTTAATGTTTAGAGCAGCAGGAACTCTGAGAGGCTGCAGGCGCATCAGTGAGTTTGCAGCTGCTGCACAGGGGGAGGGGGGAGAGGGCTGAAGTAGAAACTACCGTTGTTAAAAGAGACGTGTTAACTTAGAACATGTGGGCGCAATTTTAATTGTCAAAAACTCCAGCGAACCTACCGACCCCCCGCCGCCGCTTCCGGCGTATGACGTCATCAACGACTAGTCGAAGTCGACTCGACTTTCCTTACTTGACTGTAGACTTTAAAGAAAAAAAAATTCGTGCAGGCCCTAATCCCAAGTGTGTTCTCCGGTTGTTAGCCGTTTAGCTATCTGAGCAAGGATATACATGAGGTGTCTTGTAGCCTAGCCTTGGTCAAAAATTACCCAGAATACACCGCTGTATTTTCTAAAGGACGGTGGATCAGAAGCCGGCAGCTACTTTGGGGGCAGTTTTCAAGTTTAAAAGTAAATCAGCAAATTTAAAATGTTTTTCCAAATCCAGAGAAGTTATCTATGGTTGGTTAGTTGCTTATTAGTTGCAGCTTTGGTGGCTAGCGGGTAGTAACTCACTTATATTTTTAATTTAATAAACATATACACAATTTAGCTCGTTATATATTTATATTGAAACTAATGCTTATAAAATATAATGTTATCTCCCGTGTCATGTGATGTTACTTGACCGATGTGGAAGCCGCGGTCACGTGATGCAAGTCTGTTCCATTTAACCGTTTTCTTTGACCAAAGAAGGACAATGTCCTCGTAAGCAAGACATCGCCTCGCAAGGCCAGGCGCCTTGACATTGAGAAACACCCGAAGTCTTTCGCCAGGAATCATTCCACCTACGTACGCGCTTCTTTGTTTCATACCGTTTTGAACTGTCTCGCTTCTCCTCACCAGTTTAAATCTTATCCATCATGAAATCCCATCCCTGTGGAGACTCCATCTTTGTGCGGGTTTGTGCGTCTCTAGCGTGGTTCCACCTCTTGTTTTATAGTGAACTCAACTCTAGTCACGTGAACATGCGCAGTGGAATCGCAAATGGCACGGCCACGATGCATCCCAACACGGGGGGGGGGGGGGTTTGACTGCCGGTGTGTAAATGACAAACAAAGCTTGGGCGCCACCCGGGCGGTAAGTCGTCAATCATTTACCGCCCAACGAGAAAATTTACTGCCAATGGCGCTCAGTCGGTTCAAGTTTTCACACCTGCCTTATGAGCTACCTGTAGTTACCATGTCAACCCTTCGGAGCCACTGAATGTTACCATGGCATCCCTAATGAGCCAGAGCCACTGATCAACATTTCTTTCAGTCCTGATTCTTACTGCACATATTGTTTGGTTTCTTCATTGTTGGCCTTAAAAATGTTCAGAAGCCATTAATGTTTCAGACTCCCATGCATACACACGGAGGATTATAATTAAACACATTGCTTTATAATTTGTTAGTTGCACCACATCTTTTATGTTTATGTTTACTTTGTAGAAATATTTCTTTATGAGACAAACGTATCCGGTTCTGGTCCCTTTTTTGAGTCGGCTGTCTCAGTTTTAGCTTTCTCAAGGGGATAATGATGAGTCCATTTCTTTGCTCTGAAGAGGTCGTACAAGGAAGTGTTCTTTATCAGCGCCCGCTCTTGTTTTCCACATAACAGCCTCTGGAGGGTGAAGTCATGTCAGTTCACTTCCTTTGCTGTCCAAGTAGGGTTTTTTTCCCACTCTCAGAGAAATGCCAGAATGCGTTTTGGCAGAAAAGTCTGATGGCATCGCTGCAAATAATGGTGTTTTCTCAGATCAATATGGAACATTTAATCAGTCTCTGCAGCTCGGCACACACAGGAAAAGAGAATTTGTCATGTTTTTATTTTATATGACGGCAATGAGAATCTATTGCTACAAGAGCAATGCAGCAGCAACCTATTGATACAACAGGAAATCACAGTGAAGTTGTTTTTTCACAGAAATTCGGTAAAATTCGAACAGAACTGTCCATCACAGTAGTGTCACATTTAATAAAGTAATCCCTGTTTACTGATCTGCCCTTTTGTCAAGTGATAAACAGAATGTTTGGAGTAAAACTTACCTTTCAGTGTTTATTAATGATAAGTTCTAGAGGTGCCAGAAAAAATCGATTCGCGTACAAATCGAGATTCTTATTTGTAAAGATTCTGAATCGGTCCAAAGTTTCCCAGTTTGGCTACTTGAGAAGGCATTTGCCAGCCGTTTCCTAGCTTATTCGCTGCTGGTACTGTTTGTCAGCCAACGGCTTCTGTATGCATCATTCTAGCAAGTGATGCGTGGACTTCCAGAGCAACCTTCACGGCTCACTACACCACAGACCCCTGGCAGAGTCTAACTTACAGAAGAAGGTAATTATTCCCCAAACTGACTCTCTTTATTACTAAGAGTACTGACTGGGAATCGATTCTGAATCAAATTATCACCCCGAGAATCAGAATGGAACTGAATCATGAGTTGTAAGATTCGTAAGTTCCCTATTTCTGTACAGAGGACACAGTAGTCAGTGGTGGAAGCTACTGGTAGCGTGGAGGACTTTTTGATATTTTAATGCACCAGTTTGCTCCAAATAGAAGGACCAAAGCAACAATCTCTGTGTTTTTCACGCTTTACGATGGCGTGATGAAAACTCAATTTGAGTAACCTTGGCATATTACCTGTTGCTTAGCAACCATGATGATGCTAATTGATCTTGAACATTTGCAGAGTTTTTTATATTGACAACAAGAAATAATTCTACAGAGAAAGGATCAGAAAACAGATTAAGGTCTCCATCATGTTGGAAGGAAGGTAGGGTTGTCACGGTAACCGGTATAGCGGTAAACCCCGGTAAAAAAGTTGACAATAAAAATAACCGTCCAGTTTTTAAAAAACTATATTATCTCGGTGGGTTTACCGTGGCCGCGGTTTCGGCGCGATGACCCTTACCAGCCACCGTCGCTTCAGCTGAAGTTCCCGCGGCGCGCACACGCACTTTTTAGTTTGCAACGGCACCAAAACTTTGAAGCTGAAATAATGGCCGAAGGAGGAGACGGCAGCGCCCAGGACATCCATCAGCCCTCAAAGAAGACTAAATCGGAAGTATGGGCATATTTTGGATTTCTGAAAAACGCTGAGGGACAGTTAATAGAAGACGGCTATCCCGTTTGCAGAACGTGCAGGAAACAAGTGTCTGCAAAAGGCAGCAACACTTAGAATCTAATGGCACATCTGCGTGACCATCACCCACGTCTCTACAGCCAGTGCAAGGTAAGTCAACATGAGCATTTTAGCTTAAATGCATGACGCGAGGACTTTTGGCTGAGGGAGAATGCAACGAGTCACTATATACTGCAGCCGCAGCGCCCTCTGCCAGCATTTAAACCGTGTCACGGACACCCTGTTGCTGGATGAAGCATCTTATTTGTTGATGATGAAGAGAAATATACAATTAGTTCCTTGTCATTGATTTGTTTACTTATTCAATGCCATTTATACTTGAACATTTGGATTTGATTACATAGTGTAGTAGTTATTTTAGTAATTTGTTTAAAGTGGATATTTATTTTAAATACATATTTTTTAAGGTTGACTTGTACAGTGCTCAAGTCAAGTGTGGACTGGAGTTTTAGATTTTCATTTTGATAATGAAGAAAACAAGTATATGAGAAAACAAGTGGTGTTTCTTTGATTTGTTTACATATTGTTTATGTTTCGAATGTTTGGATTTGTATAATTTAAACCTGCACTGACTACTGTAACATGTTCCAGAAAAAGAAGATATTTGTTCCTTTACTTGTGAAAAGTTGCACTTTTGCTAAGGCTTTGTGTTATTTTAGGTTTAATAAACACTGTTAAACCTTTTCAGAACTATTTCAGTTTGTGTAGAACAGGACTATCAATGCTTTCTGAACATATGCAACACCGTTTAAAAAATACCGCGATAATACCGAAAACCGTGATAATTTTGGTCACAATAACCGTGAGGTTAAATTTTCATACCGTGACAACCCTAAAGGAAGGTTACATTGAAACTGGTTTCCTTATTTGGGGTCTTGTCAGTTTTTCTCCTTTTAAAAAAGCCATAAAAGGATATCAGAATACTTTACTTTATTAATCTCAAAGAAGATTATCTAGAAGAGTGTGAGCCTGTGGCGTTGTCAAGTCTGCGCCAGTGTTTTAAATTCGACACCAACCAAGGAGGCCGCAACGGATGCACCAAACCCATTCCTCAAATCTGGGGGGGAAAAGGATGCATTTAGAGTAGCATTCAAATTGTGACGGCCTTCGTCTCATCCCTATGTATAGGAATTCCAATGGAAGAATGTAGTCCCTGATTTAAAGGCAATTTAGTTCAGTTTCAGCTTTGTGAGGTTCTCTAGCAGTTTCAGCTGTAAGTTTAAGCACTCAGCATTCAAACAGCATTTCTTTTTCATCTAGTTTCATTTTCTTTTCTTTTTTTACATCCTATCTCCCCCTCTCCCCCCCCCCCCCCCCCCCAACCTGCCCACCTCCAGAGTGTCAGAGTGGACCCCGAGGAGCTGTTCACCAAGTTGGAGCGCATCGGGAAGGGTTCCTTCGGCGAGGTGTTCAAAGGCATTGACAATCGTACGCAGAAGGTGGTGGCCATCAAGATCATTGACCTGGAGGAAGCTGAGGATGAGATAGAAGACATCCAGCAGGAGATCACTGTACTGAGTCAGTGTGACAGTCCCTTCGTCACCAAGTATTATGGCTCCTACCTGAAGGTAATCCATCCCAACAATCCCAGATCTATCAAAGGATCACAGTGAACACCAAACTCAGAATAACAGCAGGGTTTACAGGTGCTTCAAATATAACTGAATCTGGCCGTAGCAGTGTAACATTTAGACATGAAATGATACTTCAGTGTGTTTTAACACTAAGGAAGTTGTCCCTTTACAAAGAAATTCATCTAAATGAGTCCTAATGCAGATTTTAAATAGAAAACAAGAAAACATCCTGGCATTGTGCAAACCTTTGTACATGTGGACCCTCGCCAGTGGAAGGTGCAGGAAAATCTTGAACTTGCTTTGAAAGAGCCTGAATTAGATTTTGACAAAGGTGGTTTAGAGATGGTGGACGGTAATGCTGCAGGACTCAAATAAGACATCAAGTCTTACCTATAATAGGATTTATTTGGTTAAAAAATTAGCACAAGTTCTTCTAATTTGCCCTAGTAGTGAGCAGTAAAAGGATGAAGTTTTTTTAGAGGGGGGAAATGATGATATTCCTGAGGCTGACGCAGCTAACGCGCTTAAAGATAATCACAAAGGTTTTTGAGGTTAGCCAACATCAGAACTATTCAAGACCTTTTAGCTGAATGTGTGAAATGAGGTGGACAAAAAATAGAAGCTGGTTTAGAAACTCCATGTTGTTCTTCTATTCCCCACAGCAGGACTTCCTGTAAAACAAGTACGTCATCAGCAAAGCACTGGTGGCAGCCATTTTGAGTCAGATTGATGTTAACCAGCTGTTAATGAAGATCCTGCCAAAGTAATCATACATAGCAGTTCAAGTATTTTTTCCAAGCTGGTGTCTGGCGAAGAAAGAAAACAATCTTTTATAAAGCGCCTCTCAAGATAAAAATCATGAGGCGCTTCACGAAAACAAAAACAAATCAAAATATAAAATAAAAAAAACATATTTTTATTATTAAAAATATGTTTAATAGGAGAATAAATAAAAATTGTGATTAAAAATATAAGGAAAGGGAGAGAGAAAATGAATAGGAAATGGGGAAGGCGGTATAAGAGCAGAACGAGGAGAGGGTGATGAAGGTCACACAAACGCCAGCCTGAACAGGTGAATCTTCAACTGCTGTTCTAAGGAGACCACTGAGTCCACTGATCTTAGGCTCAGGGGGAGAGAGTTCCAGAGTCTGGGGGCCACAGCAGCAAATGATCTGTCACCTTTGACCTTTAGCCTGGTGCTGCACAACCAGTAGGCTTTGTTCACTGGACCTCAGGGACCTGCTGGGGGTGTAGGGACTAAGAAGATCACCAATGTAAGATGGTGCTTGTCCATGTAAGGCCCTATAGACCAGAACCAGGATCTTGAAATGAACCCTGAAGTTGACTGGCAGCCAGTGAAGCTGGAGGAGAAGCGGGGTGATGTGGGTGTGTTTGGAGGACTTGGTCAGAAGCCGAGCACAGGCGTTCTGAACCACCTGTAGACGGTTCAGGGAGGTTCTGCTCAGACATGTGAAAAGAGAGCTACAGTAGTCTAAGCGTGAGGAGATGAAGGTGTGGAGAACTGTCTCAAGTTCAGAGCGAGACAGAATGGGACTCAGCTTAGCAATGTTCCTGAGATGGAAGAAGGAAGAGCGAACAAGAGAACTGACATGAGAGTCCAGGGTGAGAGCTGGGTCTAAGGTCACACCAAGATTCCTTACAGAACGTTTGGTGTGAGAAGCAAGCTGACCAAGAGAGTCTCTGGCTTTGGGAACCAGCTTGTCTGGGGCACAGATGATGATCTCAGTCTTATCTTCACTCAGCTGAAGAAAGCTCCCACCATCCAGGTTTTAATGGAGTTTAAGCAGGTGTGTAACAGACTCAGTTTTTTGGGGTCGAGACTCGGTCAAGACTGTTTTTTAAAGAAGTGGGTGGATTACAGCATTTTTAAAGTAAGCAGGGACCTGACCAGATATCAGACAAGAATTAATTATAGAGAGCACGCTGGGACTGATGGACTGAAAAGCACTTTTAAACAAAGATGAGGGTAAGATGTGGAGGGGGCATGCAGAGGTCTTCATAGAGTTAACTAGTTTGGTTAACTCTGGTAAAGAAACAGGAGCAAAGCTGTCTAGGATGATGGGCCTGGTTGAAGTCGGGAGAGGCAGAGATAAGGCTGAAGGAGAGATGCTAGATCTAACCTTATTGACTTTGTCCACAAAGAAAGACAGAAAGTTCTCACAGTCTGCAACACAGACTGGGAAAACAATATTGCTGATGGTGTTAAACAGCACCTTGGTGTTCCCTTTGCTCTGGGACACCAGGTTGGAGAAATAGGCAACCCTTGCGTCTCTGACTGCAGAGTTAAAGGATGACAGAAGATCCTTTAGATGCAGCACATATATGTGGAGATGGGTTTTCTTCCACAAACGCTCAATTTTTCTGCATTGGCGCTTCAGGCTGCGAAGGCTGTCATTAAACCAGGGAGTAGGGTTCACTGCAGGAACTGATCTGGTTCTGACAGGACAGATATTGTCCAGAATGGAGAGGCAGTGCTCGTTATACTGAGAAGTTAAGGAATCTGGGCCGTTATCAGAAGAACAGGGTGGATCAAAAGCAGCAGAAAAATTGCTAGCTGTGCTGTCATTAAGAAAACGAGAACTAACCATATGGCAAGCAGGAGGTGGGGACGCAGAAACTGACAAGTTAAAGAAAATGCAATGGTGATCTGAAATAAAAACGTCCTCGGGACAAACACTGTCAGCATTTAGACTCAGGGTAAAAACAAGGTCTAGAGTGTGCCCCCTGGTATGTGTGGGGCCAGAAACATGCTGGGTAAAGCTGAAGGTGTCCACGAGGCTGGAGAAGCTCATGGCAAAGTGGTCTGAGGCATCATCAATGTTAATGTTAAAATCACCTACAACCACCAGTCTGGACAGCTTCAGAGTGGAGGACTAAACTCCTGAAAGAAATAACAATTTGGACCAGGTGGACGATAAACCACAGCACAGTAGAACGGGTCCTTATGCCCGACTTTAATCAGCTGCAGTTCAAAGGAAGCAAAGTGACCAGAGACTGTAGAGCTACATGGAAGATGGTCTCTGAAAACAACAGCTAGGCCTCCACCACGACCAGAACTCCGGGGCTGGCTAAGAAAAGAATAACCACTCGGGCAGAGTTCAATCAGACCAGAATAATCAGATGTTTGCTGCCAAACCAGTCAGAAACAGAAATCTGGGTTTTTAGAGAGAATTAGATCATTAAGCAGGAAGGACTTATTAACAGAGCTGGGGTCTCATTTATCAAACATGGCGTAGAATCCTTACTAAAACCGTACTTTAGCTCAGCAAAAAAAATGTACTTACGCCAAGCAGGTTTGTGATCTATCAAACATGGAGTACGCACAGCTGCACGCAATCTCCTCTTCATAAATCGGAGACTATCTAGAATGTTTCTCAGCTGCATTTTAGTCACATCCCGCCCTCACCACGCCCACTTACTGCCATAAATAGTCAATGCAAAGTGCCTTGTGGATCTCATGCACATACATAAGCCGGCTGTTGCAGCGCTCCGCCAATGACATGGTGACCGTAGATCAAGGCAGATCAAGGAAGCGTAATTTCACAGAAGCAGAAGTTGAGGTACCTGTGGGTGAGGTGGAGAAATGAAAGGAAGTGCTTTTGCAAACCAAATAAGAGAAAATCCACGGAGTGGCACAGCGTTGCTGAAGCCGTCAATGCTGAGTTCTTCAGAGAGAGCTGTGGCGGATATAAAAAAATGATCCAATCAGGATTTGATCCCCAGACTTCCGGGTGAAAGTCACGCACTCTAAGTCAGCCAAACAGAGATCTCCCTTGTCCAAGTAGCCAGGGCGCATGATCAATCGGGTCACAGTGACAGGACACACACTGTCACAGACGCATGATGTTCTGTCTCAATCTGTCCCCCTGCTGATATTCTGCATTCCGTATTCTGCGCTTCAGGCTGTGTGTGTGTGCGCACGTGTGTGAGTGTGCGCGCATGTGTGTGTACGCGTGCTTGTGTGTACGTGTGGGGGGTCTTGTTCTGTGTGAAAACGAAGCAGTACAAGTGATAATGCTGCAGGATTTCATAATTGTATCTTCTCAGCAGCAGCACTGCAGGTGCTCTCCATGTCCAACATGTGCGTAAGCCAGGTCCTTAGCCAACTTAAAGTTGCGCACATTTTTCCGCTACGTTTTTTTTTTTCATAAATCCCAAAGTTTGCGTGGAAAGGTGCTTACGCAGTTTTCCAACCCCGTTTTGTGCGGAAGCAATTTAATTTAATTCAAGTTTATTTATATAGCGCCAAATCACGACAAGAGTCGTCTCAAGGCACTTCACATAATAAACATTCCAATTCACAGTTCATTAAGCCAATCAGAAATAATGTGTCCTATATAAGGAACCCAGCAAATTGCATCAAGTCACTGACTAGTGTCAGTGACTGTACAGCAATCCTCACAGGCTTCATAAATGAGGCCCCTGGTATTTAATGCGGCTGTGCTGAGTGAGGTGGAGGAATCGGAAAACTTTAGGGAAAAGTCCGTATCCAGTGGCATCCTGTTCATATTCTCTCTCTCTCCTGTGCTGCAGGACACGAAGCTATGGATCATCATGGAGTACCTAGGTGGAGGCTCGGCCTTGGACTTGGTGAGTGGTTGGTTCTGATCTGGTGTCTCCTGGATTTTGGCGACTTCCGTTAGAGAATGATGTCTCAGAACCAGAACCTTCTTAGAAACTAGACCTGCGTGATGTGTGTTTGTCAGCACACACTCAGGTTCTGTTTGGTTTTCCCTCCTAGATGGAGCCTGGAGCTCTGGATGAGACCCAGATTGCCACAGTCCTGAGAGAGATCCTGAAGGGCCTGGAGTACTTGCACTCAGAGAAGAAGATCCACCGGGACATCAAAGGTAGGAGCAAACACACACACAGAGAAATCAGCAGCTAACACTTTGTTCCCTGTGCTGAGCGACTGGTGGATGATGTAGATGGAGGTTTCCGCCCCTTAACCTGACCTCTGACCTCTCTCTGTCTGTGACCGCAGCCGCCAACGTCCTGCTGTCCGAGCAAGGCGAGGTGAAGCTTGCGGACTTCGGCGTGGCCGGCCAGCTCACCGACACACAGATCAAACGTAACACCTTTGTTGGGACGCCCTTCTGGATGGCCCCAGAGGTCATCAAGCAGTCTGCCTATGACTCCAAGGTCAGGTCACGGTCACACAGCCCCAACACAAATCACACCACACACTTCAGAGATACAGGCTGTTCTGTTGAGCTCAGTCAGAAAATATGACCTCGGGTATGAATGACGTAGATCACATGTCAGACTCAAGGCCCGCGGAGCATTTTTATGTGGCCCGCGAGATAAATATCAAAAATATATTAAAACTGGCCTGCTGGCCGATTTTACAGCAAACACTTCAACTCCCATGATGCTTTGCGGCGTCAGCGCGGAGCCGACGCGCCCCCTCCTTTGTGTTTTTTCAGCGCCTGCTGCCGGGTGTGTGCAGCTCCGCTGTCTCAGACAAACTACACTCCTCTCACTCAGCGCCGAGTTCACTCAGCTATTTTCTGACGTTGAAGCCCAGAAACGGAGCCGCTCAGTAACGTGTTCACGACTGAAAGAGAAAGTTTTCCAACTAACGTCCAGACAGAGCTGATATAACTCCAGCGAGCAGCGACACGCTTAAACCAGCACGGCTCTGCTGTCGTGTTTCCTCCCCGACACACAACAACGTGGTCAAGCTGCTCAGACATGTTCATCAGCACAAACCTATGTGAGCACCTGTTGTCATCTAATGTTGTCATTATTATGATGAAGATGAACAAAACAACAGGAGTCTCCTCCTCAGCTCAGATCAACCCCATGATGCAGGAATCTGGCTGGAACAGGTGAGCATCACAGTAAACCAGTGGAGCAAACTGAGCTTTAAATATGTTGGTTTTATGCTCTTTTTCTGCTCCAAAACATGAAAGTTAACAGGTGAGATGTTGCATTTTCATTTAAGATAAAATGATATTTTTATTTTGTTGTTGGCCCGTGAGAAAAGATTTAACCTACAGTAAACAGGAAGTGGAAAGGCTGCAGATAGATGAATAGAATAGAAAATCCCTTTATTGTTCCTCAGTGGGGAAAGCTAGACATCACAGCAGCGATGACACGTATTACAGGAGAAAAAAAGGAGAATAAAAAATAAGAAAAATGAATAAACAAGAAAACATAAATCCTGAATAGATTTTAAAAATGCTGATTATACCACAAGTAATGAATACCACTGATGCCTTTTATTTAAAACTGACTTGCTCGTGTGTCATTTGGTTATTCCACATTCAGTGTTAATGCAGAAATAAGTTTGTTTCCAAATTTAAAGGTTCAAAATTGCATATATGTTGATAAAGAAAATGTGCTAATTTGCCGTCACTTCTTCAAAAATTATGAAATTTGGCCCTCGACTCCGTCCCAGAGTTTCATTTTGGCCCCGTTTGAGTTTGACACCCCTGACGTAGACGGAGTTTGAAATTAAAAAGTGCCAAAACCATTTTAGGCAGCGAGTCTTGACTGCTGTCAGAGCTACGGACCCACACTACATCCAGCGTGCAGACATCACACCCTTTCCTTTTCCCATGGGTCCCTAACCCCAACGACCCCCGCAGAGACCTCCTGACCCCCACACTTCCTGAAATTTAAATAAACAACTTAAGCGTCTTTTCAACTCAAGGCTTACCTTCTAATCTACGCTACAGCTAATGAGAGTCGGCTAACTTTTTAGCTTGACTTATATCCGCCTTATTCGGGGGTTGCTGGTTAAATTACCCCAGCTGTTGTAACCAGAGTCCCGGAATGCACTTTGTATTTAATGTATTCATCTGAGAAGCTGATAAGGTTTAGTCGTTCTGCTCTAGCGCCTGATGCTGGGGGGCATCGCGTTTTCTTCCTGCAGACTAAACCAAATGACCCCGTCTCTCCCGTGTAATCCAGGCTGATATCTGGTCTCTGGGGATCACCGCCATCGAGCTGGCTAAAGGCGAGCCTCCACACTCGGACCTCCACCCCATGAAGGTTCTGTTCCTCATCCCAAAGAACAACCCGCCCACGCTGGAAGGAAATTACTGCAAACCCCTGAAAGAGTTTGTGGAGGCCTGCCTGAACAAGGAGCCCAGCTTTGTACGAGCTTTCTGTTGTTTCTGCTCCGGTTGTGGCTTTTGTCGCGTCGGCCGCTCACGTCCCGTTCCTCTCCACAGAGGCCAACTGCCAAAGAGCTGCTGAAGCATAAACTGATTGTCCGCTACGCCAAGAAGACGTCCTACCTGACCGAGCTGGTGGACAAGTACAAGAGGTGGAAGGCAGACCAGTCCAGAACCACAGAGTCCAGTTCCGACGAGTCCGACCCGTAAGTACGCCGCAGCTTCTTCAGCGGGGACGGATTAGTTTGTTTATCCAAATTTTCTTAAATGTCAGAGAGTCGGACCAGCAGGCGTCGGGTGGGAACGACATCAGCAGCGATGACTGGATCTTCACCATCCGAGAAAAGGACCCCAAGAAGCTTCAGAACGGGGAGGGACAGTCGGCGGGGACAGACCAGGTCAGCCGATGTTTCCTAGGACGTGAGTTTCCTTCCACTGGGGCTCCTTTTCTCACGTGTCTCTGGTTTCCACAGACTAAAGACATTCCAAGAAGGCCTTATTCACAGAGCCTGACCACAGTCATCTCTCCTGCTCTGTCTGAGGTAAACACGCCGTCCTCTGTGTTTCTGCGTTAGACTATCTCGTCTAAACTTGTTTATGGGATCATAAACGCATCCTCAGGTCTTAAAGTGCTTCAGAAAAACTAAAATCCTCAGTTCTTCAATTAGAATCAAGCAGGAAAGTGATTCTGGAGCACACAGTCGCGTGTCGCCGCAGTGTTAAAGAGGAAAGATGTGAGTTTACACACCGTCGACAGCGCTGCTTCTTTCTGAGAACAATCTCCTCCACCAAGTCTGAACTGAGCTCCGTGCTGCCCCCTAGTGAAAGCACCATCATGCCAACAGAAAGGGGGGGGGGGGGTGGGTGGTGGTTCTTAACTGGAATCTGCACCACTAAACACCAGAGTTTTAACTATGATGAATTGCTCCCTGCAGACGAAGGTCTTTCCTGCCGCTTTTAATCGGGCGGTGGTGAGGCCCCTGCTGATTTGAACAATTTAGATTTTAGTGACTTTAACAATTATCGACCGGTATCCAACTTAGCATTTTTAAGCAAAATTTTAGAAAAGCTTGTTTTAATTCAACTTAATGATTTTATCAACACCCATAATGTCTTTGAAAAAGTTCAGTCTGGTTTTAGGGTGAACCACAGCACAGAGACAGCCCTTCTGAAGATTGGGGGGGGCGTGATTGTGCGCCGGAGGATGAGTGTTGTGAAGGGGTTTTTATTGTCAGACAGTTTTTAAATTCTGGGGATGGGAGGGAATGTGGGTATGCGGGGCCTTTTTAATTTGTTAAGCACTTTGAGTTACATGTATTGTATGATTAAGTGCTTTATAAATAAAGTTTGATTTGATTTGATGGCATGGTGACCAAAAATTAAGGACGTAGATGAGCATTGGACACTGGAAAAGAGCTAGGAAAGCTGCAACAACAATAGCTAATGCCATCAGTTAAGCATAGTGGCGGCAGTTTGATGGTTTGGGGGTGGAAATTATGAGGTAAGTACTTTACACTGTGCCATGCCTTACAGGTCCTTCTAAAAATACTAGCATATTGTGATAAAGTTCATTATTGTCTGTAATGTACTGATAAACATTAGACTTTCATATATATCAGATTCATTACACACAACTGAAGTAGTTCAAGCCTTTTGTTGTTTCTAACATTGATGATTTTGGCAAACAGCTCATGAAAACCCAAAATTCCTTTATCAAAAAATTTGCATATTTCATCCGACCAATAAAAGAAAAGTGTTTTTAATACAAAAAAGTCAACCTTCAAATAATTATGTTCAGTTATGCACTCGATACTTGGTCGGGAATCCTTTTGCAGAAATGACTGCTTCAATGCGGCGTGGCATGGAGGCAATCAGCCTGTGGCACTGCTGAGGTGTTATGGAGGCCCAGGATGCTTCGATAGTGGCCTTAAGCTCATCCAGAGTGTTGGGTCTTGCGTCTCTCAACGTTCTCTTCACAATATCCCACAGGTTCTCTACGGGGTTCAGGTCAGGAGAGTTGGGAGGCCAACTGAGCACAGTAATACCATGGTCAGTAAACCATTTATCAGTGGTGTTGGCACTGTGAGCAGGCGCCAGGTCGTGCTGAAAAATGAAATCTTCATCTCCATAAAGCTTTTCAGCAGATGGAAGCATGAAGTGCTCCAACATCTCCTGATAGTTAGCTGCACTGACCCTGCCCTTGATAAAACACAGTGGACCAACACCAGCAGCTGACATGGCACCCCAGACCATCACTGACTGTGGGTACTTGACACTGGACTTCAGGCATTTTGGCATTTCCCTCTGCCCAGTCTTCCTCCAGACTCTGGCACCTTGATTTCTGAATGACGTGCAAAATTTGCTTTCACCCAAAAAAAGTACTTTGGACCACTGAGCAACAGTCCAGTGCTGCTTCTCTGTAGCCCAGGTCAGGCGCTTCTGCCGCTGTTTCTGGTTCAAAAGTGGCTTGACCTGGGGAATGTGGCCCCTGTAGCCCATTTCCTGCACACGCCTGTACACGGTGGTTCTGGATGTTTCTACTCCAGACTCAGTCCACTGCTTCCGCAGGTCCCCCAAGGTCTGGAATGGGTCCTTCTCCACAATCTTCCTCAGGATCCGGTCACCTCTTCTCGTTGTGCAGCGTCTTCTGCCACACTTGTTCCTTCCCACAGACTTCCCACTGAGGTGCCTTGATACAGCACTCTGGGAACAGCCTATTCGTTCAGAAATTTCTTTCTGTGTCCAACTCTCTTGCTTGAGGGTGTCAATGACGGCCTTCTGGTCAGCAGTCAGGTCGGGAGTCTTACCCATGATTGCGGTTCTGAGTAATGAACCAGGCTGGGAGTTTTTAAAAGCCTCAGGAATCTTTTGCAGGTGTTTAGAGTTAATTAGTTGATTCAGATGATTAGGTTAGTAGCTCGTTTAGAGAACCTTTTCATGATATGCTAATTTTTTGAGATAGGAATTTTGGGTTTTCATGAGCTGTACGCTAAAATCATCAATATTAGAAACAATAAAAGGCTTGAACTACTTCAGCTGTATGTAATGAATCTAATATATATGAAAATCTAATGTTTATCAGTACATTACAGACAATAATTAACTTTATCACAATATAAAATTTTTTTGAGAAGGACCTGTACCATGTGAACAGAACTAGGTCCAGTTTCCTCCTACAACGGGTTAATGGTCCAGAACCATCCATCAATTCTGTCCTAGTTTTCATCTCTAAAGCTGATATCTCGAGTTTCGGTGAAAACTCTTTATTTGTGTTTGTTTTTTATACAAACCGGCATCATGCTGATGTTGTGTTTGTAGAACCATGTTTCTGTGCTCTAGTTCCTGAACCTGTTCTCCTCCTCAGCTGAAGGCTCGGCAGGAGCAGGTGAACGGGAACCCCATGGTCCTGGATGAGTTGAGGGAGGCCATCCTGCTGGCTGAGGAGGCCTACCCTGGTATCTCCGACTCCCTCGTGGCTCACATGGTGCACCGGCTCCAGAGGTAAACGTCTCACACCTAACCCCGATGGCTGTGTAGAACTTCACGTCTTAACTCCTCTTGTTTGTTCTTGCAGTTTCTCCACAAGCCGAACCTCCTCTTCCTCCCCTTAGAAACGGGTCTCTGCCTCGGCCCTGCTCACCCCCCTACGTCCCACCAACACCCCAACCAGATCAGAGGGTGGAGCCATTCAGAACCAGCTTTTAGGTTTCATTTCGGGGGCGGTGCTTAAATATTTAGTAAACTCCAGCGGAGAAACCTTGCAGAGCTTTTTTTATCCATTGACGAGAGATGTTGGAAAGCCGTAGCACACGGGACTCAACGCAGGAGCGACTGGACGGGAACTGTCCGGGCCATGCGCACTCCTCCAGCCTCACGCAGCCATCTCTCTCTGCATGGTCTTTACTGGATGAGGAGCCTTCTTCACTTCCTCCGCCCTCCCCGCTCTAAATGCTGGCGTCGTACCCAACCCCCAGAACCTCCGAGAGCATGCTTGACGAACCTGCAGGGATGTCATCCAAGTGTACAAGCTTTGTGTACGTGTGCACAGTCACGTGAGTGCACGTGACGTCTCTAAAACTCCCTGTTTAGGCAGATTGCAGCATTCTTAATGAAACCTCAGGTAAAGTGCTTTAAGTCCTCCGAGGCAGGAGGGGGCGCCATGCTGTACATGATTACAAGTTGTCATTGCGGGAAATAAATCACTGTGTACAAAACAGTCATCACATTTTGTAGATATGAATAAAGTTTAAAAAAAAGTAGTTATTTAAACATCTTAAAGGTTACTCAGACAGAAAATGCTTTTTCGGAAACGTTCTACGCTCAAACATTTCATCACACGTTTAGTTACTTTTTGTAAAAATCAGTGTTTTCTTTTCTCGTGACTTGAGCTCATTGATGCTGAATCATCAAATTAATCAAGTTTACTTTGTATAGAAGAAGAATCCTTTTGTTTGTCGTCAGACGGTAAACCTCGTATTATTGTTTAAGGGTTCAAAGAGAGAGCTCAGATCTGTGGTGGAGAAGTTACAGTTAATACCGTACCCATTCTAGATGGCTCTTTAAATGACCTCATTGTGAAGAAAAACAGAGCAGTTCTGATGCTAGCTAACGGCTAGTTTCCGCAAGTCCAATAACAAAGTGAAGTTCTACCCTTAACATTTTAGAAATGTTAGAGTAGCTCAAACTAACGTTATTTAATGAACCATTGGGCCAAATTGAATAGTTGCATAGACATCTGGAACCCCTCCTTAATTCTTAATTTAGTTGTGTGTGTGAAAGTTCAGGAAACTTCGAGAGGGGCTGAGACCCCATTGATGAAATGCCACCTCCACACCACAAGGGGGCGCCAACCAACAACATATCAAAATACAAAAAGGGCAACGGCTAATGAAAAACTAGTGTTACTTATTGATATTGTTTATAATTGTCTTTCAAGCCTTGTACTTGTAACAAAGTTACAAAAATAATTTAAATATGTTTATCATAGTTGGTTTTCTTACAAAAAAACTACATTTGTGCTTGAACAGGAAGTGCAAACGTAGCAGGAAATCTTGCTTTCTGAAATGTCCAGAATAGTTCTTACTGGTTTGAAGAAAAAAGGAGACTCTTGTCATTCTGGACAGATTTAGGCACTTTGTGTATTTACATGGATACATATTTACACGTTTTTTTGCGGTTTGGAAATTTGTAAACTTGTTTTAGTCCAACGGAAGATTCAAAATTGTTGTTGAAATTTTAAGATACTTTTGTGTAAAAATGTTTATGTTGGTGTGAATCTTGCCAACAGAAAAATTCCTGCATGAAGTGCATCTAGCATAAAGTAAGTGCTACAGCTAGCTTCTTACGTGCTACAGCTAGCTTTTGCTGCTATTAGCCTTTATAAATCACCATAGAATGTCATTTAAATGACTAATGCAGAAATTACAGTGGAGGATAGTTTGTTAAATCGCATTTAGACAAAAAAATTTTGATTAGATTTTGGTTGTGAGCTAACTGGAACTAGCTGTTAGCTTGTCAAACAGAAGAGCTAATCTCTTTCTCCAAACTGAGGTTGTTCAAAGTGCAGATCTTCCTTCCACAGAACCCACGTCAGCTGATCTGAGCTCTCTCTGTCAGTTTTATAATTTACCAAGAATAAAAGATGGCAGATGTTCACCAGGGAAACCACGTCCAGATGTTTTCAGCTAAAGTAGTGTTTTTCCCAGATTTAGCCGTTCTTAGTAACTAAAGTGGATACGAGGGCAAGCAAGCAAGAACCATAGAAGGCGATCACATTTAACTCCCGTCAGGACAAACCTCAACACCATCCTTTAATCCTCACCACTCTCACTATAGAAGTGCCATATCCACTTTACGCTCACTAATGCTCCAAGTTTGATTTGCACCTTTTTATTTTTCAGATCAGTTTTGTGCACTTTGAAAGTGTCGCCTATTTAAGAATCCTACAAGAGGAGGAAAACAAAAACGCAGTTGCTAATAGCCATGTTTTACTATATATGTTTACTTCAGAGTTCCAGAATTTACTACTGTGCTATTGCAGCAATAATGTTGAGGAGTTGCAACACGGTGCACTCGTCAACACAGGGATTGAAAGAAATATCTGATATTTTTATAATGGCAAAGAGTTGAGTATGGAACTATGGAATGCTTTATGGATATGGGCACCTGCCTCTGGCAAATAAATATCTATACCCTACTGAAAAAGAAAACCTGCTATGGAAATAACAAAATGTGTACATTTGGTCTCTTTTATCATAGCTGATTTATAGTACTGTATATAATCTTTGCTTGTGTCATTTGAGAACTCCCAAGTTAAATGTAAGCTCCTTCTAAGCTTTCAAGTTGACATGAGAAATAAAGATCTACTGCTAACTCAGAGCTGGGTGTCTGGTTTTCTGCAGAGCTTGTGGTAGAGCGTCCATCGGGGTTCTCTAAGTTCGCTTTAGTTATTATTTTGTTTTGGTATTACAAAGATGGGCAAGACGCCCTGGTGGCGCCCTCTATCAGTGAGCCCCAGGGAAGCTGTGGCTCACTGTCAGCGTGTGAATGGATGAAGGATCACTCTAGTGTAAAGTGCTTTGGAGTCCTCTGACTCTGTAAGTTGCTATGCAAGTGCAGATCATTTATCGTTCAATTTTTTGTCCCAGTTTTGAACTTTTACTTGCAGTTCTTCTCTCTGGCCACCAGATGTCACTCTCAAATAACATGTGATTTGATTAGAAGACGAATCACAACAAATATTTCACACTGAACAACGAAAGTATTTAGATAAGTGTTTACATTACTGTAGCAAGTCATTTCCATATATGTTGCCGATGTCGGGATCTGCCAGATTTGATTTGGGGTTGTGTTGGGCCAGTTATCCGGGCTCACGAGTCATTGCTGGATGCTGAACTCTCATTGGCCCCACAGATAAAACACCTGTAGTGAGGTCTTGCTTTTATCAGCTTCGCCACCTTACTCGCATCAGACAAATCTTGAAACGGACGCATTTGGAGTAAATCATCCAATGCCTTCATTACCTCTCGCCTGGACTATGATAACGCCCTCCTAGTTGGTGTTCCGGTCTCTGCCCTGAATCGGCTGCAGGTCATCCAGAACGCTGCTGCCAGGTTCTTGACAAATACGCACTGACTTAGCCGTATTACCCCTGTCCTGGTACATCTTCACTGACTCCCTGTCATTTTCAGAGTACAGTTTAAGTTATTGACTTTTGTGTTTAAAGCACTCAATGACCTGGCACCACCCTGTCTCTCTCTCCCTCCCTTACCTTTTCTGATCCTAGTCCTTTTTCCTCACGGTTTATACTGCAACGCCTTACTTCATTTTTATTTTTGGTTAAAGTCACGGACACTTAATCTGCAACTGCAAACTCCTCTATAAGGAAGAATTCCCAGTGCTGGCCCCTTTTCTTTTGGCTATCTTAATGGCAGTCACACTTCCAGTGTGGTTCCAACCCCTGTGAAGAAGCAGTTGTTCATCCTATGTTGGAAAAACCTGGGCTGCATTTGACAATTTGAGCTAATTACAGTTATATCTCCAAACTTCCCATTTCTTTCAAAGCTGCTGGAGAGAGCCGTGTACTCACAGGTACTTTCTTGAGCACTCCGCTGTCAAAGCGTAAGTCCAGGGATGTTCGTGCGTTTTCAATTCCGGGTCCTCGGCTTTGGAACCAACTGCCACTAGAAATAAAACAGTCCACATTGCTGTACACTAAAGCTGGGCTTAAAGTTTATCTTAGATCTATTTCCTAGCTTTTCCAGTCATGTTTTAATATTTTTATCATCGTTGTTGTTTCATAGTTTTTGTTAGCTATTTTATCTTTGAATGGTTTTCTTTTTCCTATATTTTATAGCTGTTGTATTGTGTTTTACACTATGTTGAGCCCCCTTGATTGGGGCTAGGAAGGGGCATTATAAATAAACTTGACCACTCATGATTTATGCTTCAGCACTGAGAATGCTCTTTTAACATTTTCTGCTAGTGATATGGGTGATGCTGTTATTGGCTCTAATGGCAACTTTTGACATGGCCGACCATGACATCCTTCTTGACACATTACAGCACTGGGTGGGGTTTTCTGGGCCTGCCCTCCAATATCTCCGCTCCTAACTTCAGGGCAGGAGCTTCTGTGTTTGGATGGGTGAAGCTTCACCACCCTGTGAAAGACTCCATTGGGGCATCCCACAGGGCTCTGTCCTTGGCCCTCTCCTGTTTGAGGTGTATCTACTACCCCTGTTTGCCTAGCTTTAAGGTGAAATTCCATTTTTACACTGTTGACTGCCAAATCTATGTTTTTAGCCTCTTTTATAAGCAGTAGTAGCTCAGGGGGTAGAGCAGGTTGTCCAGTAATTGGAAGGTTGCAGGTTTGATCCCGGCTCCGACCACAGAGTGCTGCTGTTGTGTCTTTGGGCAAGACACTTAACCCACATTGCCTGCAGGCTGTGGTCGGAGGGACCTGTGGCACTGGTGTTCAGCAGCCTCGCCTCTGTCGGTGCACCCCAGGGAAGCTGTGGCTACATCGTAGCTCATCTCCATGGTTGAAACCACGTTTTTTTCGCAAGCTGCTCCTAAAGGTGTCTGTCTTCCACAGTTCTCGTGTGATCTGAGCTTTAGCTCTAATGAAGACAAGTTCCTGGAGCTTCACTCCACTCTAGTTTGTCTTCTCAGGTGGTTCTGTTAACAAAAGTGAAGCTTACTGCCCGTGTTTAATTTCATTTTCAATATTGCAGCAAGTGGGAGTTCAGCAGTAACTCCCCACATGATCATGACACCACCCTCTGTTGCACCGAGGAGTAATCTTAATTCACAAGTCAGGCGTTGCGGTAATATTGCTACAAAGCTTGGTTGAACAAATTCTACAAAAATCCTGCATCGCAAGACCGCCACATCGTGACACATCATGGCGGCAGTTGATCTTCAACACCAGAAAGCAAAATGGACCAACACCAGCAGATGACATGGACCCCAAACCATCGCAACATGGATTCTGTGCTTTTCGTCTCTTCCTCCAGACTCTGGGACCTTGATTTCCAAACAAAATGCAAATTTTACTTTCATCAGAGAACATAACTTTGGACCACTCAGCAGCAGTGCAGTCTTTTTTGTCTTTAGCCCAGGCGAGACACTTCTGACGCTGTCTATTGTTCAAGAGTGGCTTGATACAAGGAACCCAACAGCTGAAACCATGTCTTACATACGTCTGTATGTGGTGGTTCTTGAAGCACTGACTCTAGCTGCAGCCCACTCTTTGTGAATCTCCCCCACATTATTGAATGGGCTTTGTTTCATAGTCCTCTACAGGGTTCAGTTATCTCTATTGTTGTGCACTTTTTTCTAGTAAGTAAGTAGTAAGTAATTTTTATTTATGTAGCACTTATCACAGACATAAAATCACAAAGTGCTTCACATATATCAAAACAAAATAAAACAAAATCATAAAACCACAATAATCTCAAAACAGGAATAGATTAACATTTTAAAAAAGTCATAGAATTATAAAATTCTACCACATTTTGCCCTTCCCTTCACCTCTATTAACTCATTCACTGCTATTGACGACAAAAGTCATCATTTTAAATCCAATCGTTCACTGCCAATGATGACAAAAGTCGTCATTTGCCTTTTTTTACTGTGTGGGCATCAGAACGAGCCCCCGCACCGTGAGAACAATCTGCATACATCACACGTCACATGATCAGGAAGCAGAAAATCCACGTGTTAGGAGATCGTTTTGGGCCCCTGATGTAAAAAAAGTGAGGCGCGAACCGGAAAAGCTTCTGCCGATCACAATTCAACAACGGATTATGAAAGGACGGATAACGCTCGAAACGCGCGGATTCTTCCTGATGTAAGAGGTGAGTCTCCGCTTTGTTTTGGTTGTTTTGGCATCAACGTCATCCAAGTGCGCAACGTTCTGAGTCTTAAAAAAACAGTAAAAACTGTGAGAAACGCTGGCAGCGAAGGGCTTTACCAATCAGGAAACGGCTGGCAGCGAATGAGTTAATGTGCTTGGACACAGAGCTCTGAACAGCCAGCCTCTTTAGCAATGACCCTTTGTGTCTTGCCCTCCTTTTGCAATGTGTCAATGGTCATATTTTGAACAACAGTCAAGTCAGCAGTTTTCCCCATGATTGTGTAGCCTACAGAACTAGACTGAGAGACCATTTAAAGGCTTTTGGAGGTGTTTTGAGTTAGTTAGCTGATTAGAGTGTGGCACCAGGGGTTTTCAGTGTTGAACCTTTTCACTATATTCTAATATTTGGAGTTACTGAATTTGGGATTTTCATTAGATGTCAGTTATAATCACCAACATTAAGGTCTGGACAAGACCAATAAGAGCAACCTCCAACGAGACATATTGTTTCAAGGTTGATGCCTAAGTCATTGCAAACAAATCTTCCATGAGCTGCTTGCATCTTTGTTGTTTTTTTTCCATCACAGCTCTAGTGTTGAGCCTGCCCAACAAGTGTAGAGTCTGTGGACAAGACACAAAACCATTTGGACCAGTAGTAGTACTCTTCTGGAGACCTCCAGTGAGTCAGGAATTCCTTTGTGTACCCACCAGTGGAAGGATTCTCAGTAAACATTTTCACTTTATTTGGATTTTTCACAGCATCACCTAACAAACGTTTCCAGCTGACCAAGAAGGTTTAAAGTGTTGGATATTTAGGTGTTCAGTCATAATATTTTACAATGCACACAATACTGGGTTGGAAATAAATACAAATGTTGGAATGGTTCTTTGGTCATTTTTCATCTACTTGTCACAAAAAGGCTGAAGAACAGAATTACCACCACTGGCACAAATTTCCATCAAACCATAAATCACCAGCTAAAAAAGAGAATTAGAATGATGGTCTAAAACTGATCCGCAATGTCCTCATTACAAAAGTCCTGTCCTCAAAGCAAGAGTGTAACTCCTGTGTTCCTCCCGTTTCAGTTCCAACATGTCCACTGATGTCCTCTGGTACAAGAGCTAGAGGACACAGTCATGTTTAGATGTTACCACCAGATTCCAGAGGTATTCCCGTAAGCGGAGCCATGTTGGTTTAGAGCTTGCTCTGCTTGGTTTTCTCCTCATCAGAGCTAAAATCGGAGCTCTTCCCACTCTCATCAGCCATGCCCTTTTTGTCCTTTTCCATGTTCTTCTTCTCCTTGTCCTCAGGCTCCATGTTGAGGAACTGGGCTTCTATCTTGGCGGGGTCCGTGTAGGTGTAAAACATGGCCATGACAGCAAAGATGATGCACACCAACACCAGCAGTGAGGCAAAGAGGATGTATTCAGCCCACTGGGGAAAAGAACAAAACAACAAGGACTTAGATGTCCCACCTGGATCAGTTCTAGGGTTTTACCTATCAGGAGATAGAAATTCTAAAATTATTCTAATCAAACCTAAAAGCATTTTAGTCAGATGTGGTCTGGACTCTCACCGGACCATCATAGAACCTCGATTCTGTTGTAGATCTGCTGCCATGTTTAGACCATGGATCTGTTGTTGGATCCGGTTTAGTCCTAGATGGACTCAGATTAGACTGTAGAAGACTTTGTCCAAAGAGTAGTTAATAGTGGACTCAAAGACTGCAAGGAGCCCGAACCATCAGCCCTCCACCACCATGCTGACAGTTAGTGACATGGTAAACATCTTGATTTTGGTCTCATCTGTCCAGAAGTCATGCTGTTCATTCAGATAAAACCATTCTAACTAAAGCGAAGGTTTCTCCCTGTAGATGAACAGGCTCCTACCGTAGCTGTTTATGTCCGGGTTTGCACTCAAACCATTTTGTGGTCCCGCGTGACCACACAGGTTTGTTTAAAGTAAATCCCGACAAATAAAACAATTACTTTCTACTAAACAGTTGAGTGTTCTCAGCAGAAGTACCCGTACGCATGAGAACTTTCACATATATCTGGACTTACATCCATGAAACAGAAAATAGGTGTGTGAGGAGACTCACCTTGTCTGGGAGTTGTGCTGCCTCTGCAACAATGAGCACAATGATGTTTCCCACGGCAACAGTTAACAGCCAACCAGCCTGCAGCACAGACTTCATGTTGGAGGGAGCCTGGAGACGAGAAAGGTTTATTATTGATGCCAGTAAGAATCGTGTCTATCGTGCATGCTTTATGTGGTTGTTGGTGTTTGTCTTTCACTTTGCCCATCAGACAAAACAGCGTTTGGGTGATTTGCCTATTAGTTGAGAGTAGCGCCCTCTACCTGTGAGTATGAGAACTCCAGGCCTGTGACAGAGAAGACCACCTCTCCTGTAGTCATGAGGAAATACTGAGGAATCTGCCAGGCCATGTGGATGGAGTTGGGCTTAATGTCCTCCACTTCTCTTATGTGCTGATCACACTGCAGTACAGGAACCAGCACCAAGCTCAGTCACAACTTACATCCCTGCTAGGATGTATCTTAGATAGAATCATACATTACATTTTCTCCCATTGCGAAGGTCGATGGGATGAAGTAGGTGAAGGAACTGCCGAAGCCCAGCTTTCGACTGAAGGAGCACTGGTTTCCTAGTAAATTCTCGATTGTGAAGGAAATCCTGCCGAAACAAGACCCTGTTAAGAACAGAGAAGTCTACTGTGGCTATAAAAGCAGCGAAAGGTACAAAAACGTACGTTCCATGTGATAATTTGACGTATGGAGACATGTCGTTGGTGTTGATGTTTCCAATGCTTTCCGTTCCTACTGATACACTCAATGGTGAGCGAAAACCGTTGAGAAACCTGCAGGAGAACACAGCACGGTGATCACTTTAAAGTAAAACCTGAAGCAAAATGTTGCTGTTTTCCGTTTTCCACTTGGGAATGATGTCTGAACCCTGACCGAGTTCCAGATGTTCGTCAGAAATGACTAACCATCGTTGTCACTGATTCTTATACTAATGGCTCTAGTCAGTGACTCGATGAAGTCTGCTGGGCTCCTCGTATAGGAAGTGCCTTAATTTGGCACTGTGCAAATAAACTGAACTGAATGGGATTGACATCAGAACTACACGTGCTAATGATGCGTTTCTACGTGTTATTCTTCCTCCTGCCACAGCAACAGATTCACTACGAGGCTGAGTTTGTGAGATACAAACTAATGCAAGTGAAAAAGGTTCATGACTGCAGCTAACAGCGCTTTCACGTGTAAAGCAGCCATGTTGGATGTGAGGCCAGGACTGGCCAAGAATTCCCGACTTTTTGAGTTTGGATTCTGACTTTTGGAACATTCCAGACCAGATTTCCCTTTGAGAATGTAGAAAGTTGGACTTCTGAGAACCAATGAAATGCACTTCTAGAAAACTAAATTGGCTTTGGTGAGGTGATGTTCAGAACTAGTCAGGGAATTGTCCCATTCAATGACAACTCATCATCCTCTCCATTTATTTGTCTCTTTATCTTTCCTTCCATGCACTCTGGGCGATGTGGTCTATCTAACCACAAATTCACTAAAACAAGCTACGGGACTATCTCACACGTTTCTGAGTTTAGATTACAAATAACAATAAATAAATCATTTCTGGCACCCTGCTCAGCTCAGTTCGCCCCGTGGTCCTGACCTCTAACATTTCACCTCATTGGGACCAACATCGATTGGCTTCTATGAACAGGAACTCACCTGATAGCGTTATAACCCTGATCTGGCTTTGTGTTGAAATCTTGGAACTGAGAACAGAAAAACATTCATCTAAAATATATCGGACTTTTGTTCTCCAGTGAGAAACTAAAACAACGATTTTAGTTTGGCTCCTCCCAACAGAGCGTGCTTACTATTCTATAGCCGAGTTGAAATCCTTCTCTAGCGATGACGAGGGTGGTTCGGTTGCCATGAGGTAAAGTGATTGATTCAGGGCGACTGGCATTCACACTCATCTCAAATGGTTCATCAAAGGTCAGATAATCCTGAGTGGCCTGTGGATTAAAAGCATTAATTAGACCATTACACTGAGTGTTAGTGAGCATTAGGCTGCCGAGGCTGTACCGTAAAAGGATCCAATGTAAATTTCTCAGGCCCAGCTGTGATGTGCAGCGTTCCGTCAACCATGTTGATGAACTTTGCTTGACTCTCAGTGCTTGATGAGAACTTGGGCAGAGTGTTCTAGCAGACACATGAAACCGTTACTCACAGGGGTCCCATTAATTATGTTTTCAGAGTATTCAGAGGTGTTCTTACATGTACTTACATCAATCTGTAACTGGACCAGAGCAGCAGCCACAAAAGCAACAGCAGCGAAAAACATCCCCACAGTCATCCTTCTTAGTGGACTGCAGGTTAAAACACACCATGTAGATCAGAGGTTGCTTCTGTTGGTCTGGTTTCATTTGAATTCATTTGATGGAGTAGGTCGTTTAAGGCCAAAAACTGAACCAACGAGTCTTTTTAATTCTAGTGAAAAGACTCTGGGGTCTTTGAGACCAGCCACCATTCTTCAAACTGTATTATTAGTAGCGATGTGTACCGAATTCGGTACTTTTTAAGGTACCGACGGAATTCCACAGTACCGACCGAGCACCGATTCACGTCATTTGAAACAGTGCCTCGTTTCGGTACCCATCCTTCATAACGAGAACTTGCCTAGACAGCTGCGCATGCGCAAGAGCGTTATGTCATCAGTCGCTGCGAGCCAGTTGTAAACAGAGCAGCATGGTAGAAAGAACGCACGCTAAAGCTTGGGTCCACTTCACTAAATGTGATGGGTGACGATGAAACCAGCGACAACGATCAAAGTGAGACATCCTCATGTTAATCTGCTCTGGTAGGTAAATAAAATGTTTAAGATAACGTTAGCTTGATATGTTAGCTTCCGTTCCGCTAATGGTGCGTTCGCTTTCTCCTCGGAACTCCGAATTTCCGACTAGAAAAACATGAACGCGCTCTAAAGTTTGGCTTCACTTTACTAAATGCGACGGGTGATTGGGTGAAGATGAAACCAGCGACAATGATCTAAGTGTGCGGCATCATCGTTTTAATCTGCTCCAGCAGCTAAATAAACTGTTTAAGATAACATTAGCTTGATATGTTAGCTTCCATTGCCACCATTGTTACCAGCTAATGGTGCATTCACGTTCTCCTCGGAAATTCTAACTTCCCAGTAGGAAATATCAAATGAAAAAGGATGGTAAAAGGAATGAAGATACACAGTAAATTTAGTTCACAGTAAAGATGTTTGCTTCAGTTTAATTATCAGCTTATAAAACTACAAGGACGATGTTAAAATACAAACAGCTGTATGTTATTTATCGTGATATTTATCAAATATGGTTATATATTGAGAAAAATATATATTTTATTATAAAGGAGAATAAAAATATTAAACACTCAAAAGTATCTAAAATTGGTACCGTTACGTACCGGTATCGATTCCTAGGTACCGGGAATTACTACCAAATCTATTCAAATGTCAAAGGTACCCATCCCTAATTATTAGAGCCTAGATTTTTGAAGATCTTTCACTCTTTTTTTTTTTAAACTGTGCTGTAGGCCCTAGAGCGAACGAACCAATGAATGAACAAACAAACAAACGAGCGATCGAACGAACAAACAAACGAATTAATGAATGCCTTGTCAGTCATTTTCTGTGGGAAAAAAAATCCCTGGAGCTCCAGTTTCAGGGGGAATAGAGAGAGAGCAATACATGATACAATACAGTGAGACATTCCATACAACCTCACCCACTAGTAAAATAAGAGTACTCAAAGAAATGTTTGAAAAAAATCAACCATCAGGACGATTGAGAACTTTGGTACAAATGAAAGTTGGTAGCGGTTACATCCCACTGTGCAAAGATCTAGTTTGGATGACCTACAGACGTGGTCTGGACAGACAGACTCAATATAGACATGATCCTGCACGTCCATGTGACGTTTACTATTTGCAGGAATCTCAATGAAGCCACCCTGTTCCTCCTATCTAACTTGAGGAAGACTAACGCCTCCATGGGCGGATGATTCCCTCTGGTTAAAGCCAAATTTATACGTCTCTGTCTGCGTGGGCTTGGAGACACACAATGCCTGAAGTCTGAAGGGAAAACATCTCCATCAATACGTGTGTAGGACTGAGCTGACAGAGAAGTATAGAGTGAGCTTTAGATGGCCTTTCGTACCAGCTGTCTATGCCAGATGTTAAATCGAAGGCGTTCGGGTCTTATTTTTCTCTGTCAGGCTTCCATACCCTGCAATAAAACCAAATTTTATGACTGACTTGAGAAAAGATCTGTAAAATAAAAACATCAAGGTTTGTCAACGCCATAATTCAACCTTCTTACAAGCCTTCGGAAATGTCTCTGAAGGCTTTTCCCACACATTTCTGCTGTGCTTTGGTTCATGATATTTTCTTAGGGCCTAAAACTATCCACAATTACCACTGCAGATGCATGGATCATCGTTGATGCTGTCGAGTAAGCTGTTTTCTGAAGCCAAGGACCATGTCCGTCGCTTTAGCAGCATTCGATTTCCGCTAGTTCTCTTCAAGCCAATTGGCTAAAGGTTCTGTTGAGTCTCTCCCTCTTTCAGACTTACTATCAGTGTTTTTTTCCATCCTAGTGAAAATCACGCGACTCAAGTTATTCTGAGCCACCTGCTCCCACCCACTAGCCTGGCAAGCCAGACTAAATAAATGTATTATTTAGTCTGGCAACGCTCCATTGACGGCTCTCAGTCATGGGGCGGGTTCTACCGTTGTCTTTTAAACGATCTCCGCATGCTACTGGACAATGAACAATGTGACGTACGCACTGCAACAGATGTCTGTAAACGAGGCAGTCCACTGTTGAAGAAGGCAAAAATACATCCTTTTTAAAAAATAAAGAACTTAAAAACATCTATCTGCTCCTGATTCTAATAAAGCCCATGTCCTAATAGTATGAAATTGATGCAAAAGCCGTTTCAAACGAGCTGTTGCCATCTTTTTCCACTCCATCGCATCATCCCACCCAACAGACGAATAGAAGGCCCTGATTGGCCCATAACGTGGATAGAGCGCTGTAATTTGCTCACCATTGTGGACCAATCACAGCACTCTATTGGTTTCAAACCCCTCTAGAGAGCTGTGATTGGCCTGCCAGCAGGAGGTTCCAATGGAGTGTTCCTAGACCAAAACTTTGCAAAGCAAGAATTGGGTCTAGTTCACTAGGCTGCCCATCCATAGCAGTTTTACAACCACAGGCATCTGCAAGATTAACGTTGGTTCCCTAGGGCCTTGCAAGACCCAAGCCCCATTATAGAGCACTGTAACTAACTTCAGTTTACTCTACACCCTAGCAAAAATCTTGGGTCTTGCATGTGTTTTTGGGTGCCCACTCCTGTCTGCAGCAGCCTCACAACTATATCCATTGTCACTAGATTTGCACTAGATTGCGCAGGATTCCGATATTTATTTCTAATATATATAAGTTGCTTAAATGATGTAAATTTTCTTTAGAATTCAGTTCTGGGTAAATTTATATTCACATACAAAACCAAACAGGAAACTTACGTGAAGTTTAATTTGCACTTGGATATCAGTGGGTAGACAATGCTGTCCATGATTGGGACCAAAACCAGGATCAAGATCGGGTTGACAGTCTGATGGGAAGACAGTGAGTGACTGAGATGTGGGCCTTACATCAGCTGGTGCCGTCGGTACTCACTAGAACGGTCTTACCTGCATTTGGTCCGGCTGAATTACCATCAAACCCTGTTGGAAAACAAAAAAAGGCATCCTTTTACAAAGATTCTTGTTTGTGGGTCGGATTCACAATTTGCAGCAATGGAAGCAGAAAACGTACAAAGTCACCGTTCATGGTGGTGGCCTGGAGGGTCCACCTAGAGCCCTGTGGACCAGAAACAGCTCTTATTTAGGATGTTCTCGTTGCAGGAATGTTTTTCCAGGAACCAGGGAGTTTTTCTGAGTTTTAAATTATCAACCAGTATCTAGGATCCAAGACAATAAAAAGGTCCTCCTTGAATTTAGACAAGGTTCATCCTAAAAAGAGATGTACCTGCTGGTCGAAGAGGGTCCAGAACATTGGCAATGGAAGGTAGAGGAACAGCACCTTCAGAACCATCTTCACTTGGGCAATCAGGAGTTTCTAGACCATTGAAGAGAAGATTTCATGGATTCTTACATCATAATGCTTTAAAGATTCCATGACGCAGGTATCTTAGGGGTGGTGACTGTTGGTGGCAAGATGCAAATACCGTATTTTCACGACCATAGGGCGCACCGTGTTATAGGGTGCAGCTTCAGTTACGGATGTCTTTTGGGTATTTAACACGTACAAAAATGCGCACCGGGTTATAGGGCGCGGGTGCAGGCACAGTAAAACGTACCGGTAAAACATCTGTGCGGGCTCTGGACTCGGAACATGTCAGTGCAAACCAGGGCTGGATGTGTTTGTCGGCATTCTTCTTACTGCCGTAGGAGCGGAAGACGGACAGCTTTTCTTTGTAATCCACTGGAAGTTGCTGCGCCACCGTAGTCCTTGCCCGGATGGAAAGATGGCGGCGTTTCATAAAACGAAAGCACCAAGACGGATCTCCTTGAAAATGTTCAATGTTCATTTCTTGTGTGAGCGTTACTGCTCTCAGACGAATGGTGACGGTAGAGACGCTTCTCCCAGCTGTCCTCTGCTCGTTAACCCATTGCTCGAGGCGGTCCTCCAGCTCAGGCCACCTGGCTTTGTGCCCGCAGAAACACAGCTGTGTCTTCTTTACTTGTCGGAGTTTGTTTTCCAACTTCCTCCACTTGCGAACCATGGACTCATGCTGAATTCTCTCGCCACTGCTCTATTCCCATGTTTCTCCACGTAGCTGATCGCTTGCAGTTTAAACTGTGCTTCGTAGGCGTGTCTCTTAGCAGGTGCCATTCTCAGGGTTGTCAGAACAATGTTCAGCATACCGCGCATACCTGCCCTTTTGAACTATTCGGGGTCTGTCTTCGCTCACGTCCGCACGTTCACGCCACGCCCCTTGCCGTTCTCACAACGCCCCTTGTCTTCTACTACGTTCGCGTCTCACAACAACACAATAGGCGCACTGCACCATAGGCCGCGGCGTACATTTTGGAGAAAATTTAAGACTTTTAGGTGCGCCTTATGGTCGTGAAAGTACGGTACATTCATTTTCAAAACACACATTTGAAAAATGAATGAAATTTGAAGAGTCATTGCTGACCTTTTAGTTTTTGAGAGTCAAAAGGTGCAAGTGTTGCTAAATAATGTTTATTACCAATTACGAATGAATTTAGAGGTGAGGAAAATGTTTTGTGACACCAAATAATTTGCACTACAGTCAGCGTTGCTTGAAATTGCATCACACGCCCATTGTTACCTGGTCATAGATAAGATCATGCGCATATGTTTGCACAACTTTGTGTCTTCAACTACATCTTATCTCACATCATATTTCTCCTCGGCCCAGTCCATCCAGTGAGCTCTCTTTGGGAACGTGGAAGATCGATGCTTGAAGCGGTTGGAGACAGCAAACTAAAGACAACACAAAGACCATTGTGGTGTGACTGTTGCACTCAAATCCACTCAGAACTCATCTGTCAGGAGTTACTTACACCCACGCATTTGCAGACTTTCACCAGGATGTTTCCCGCTGGGGGAACCTTAGTGTACATGCCACTTCCAACGATGAATACAACTACAAGCAAACCACACGAGCAATGCTTACAATCTGGTTCCCTGAATAGACCGTTTACTTTACCAGGCTATCACAGGTCCTTACTCAGAGCGACCACCATGAGAGCGGCAGGAACACCAAAGGCAAGTGGGTAGCACTGCTGCTTACTGTGAATCCCACATTTCTGAGCTGAAAAATACACAACACACACACACACATCTTAACAAAACAAAGTGATGAGATTTGAGTATGGTTCAGATTTAGTTTGTAGCTCTGCCTCTGAGGATGGGGGTGATGATGGTGGACAGCAGGCTGCCTGCGTTGATGGACAGGTAGAAGATGGAGAAGAAGGTGCCCCGTTGTTTCTCCTGTTGGAATAGCATTCACATTCATACATTTTTCCCATGTTCAGCTAAAAGGTAGCTGCTTTTTTAAAATGTATTCATTCCTGTTCGGGCATCTTTTATCACTGTCATTTATAATTTACCAGTGCACTTTCAAGGATGTCGCCCTTCAATTTGGACACATCCAGCAACTCTGGAACTCTTTCCAGAGCCGCTTGTTTGGAGTCTTACTCTCTCTTAAAACCCAGTTAAAAACTTATTTTTTGTCAATCTGCTTTCTATCGATTTCTCTCTTGGCTTTTATTCTTTGCTTCGGATAAAAACGTGTGATTTTAGATCTTGAAAGCTGCTTTATAAATAAAGATTTACCTTACTTCTTATCTAAAGATCCAACATGCAGTTTCAGCTGAGACACCTTTACAAACAGCTGCAACAAACAGTTGCACTACAAAGCCACACACACACACACACACACACACACACACACACACACACACACACACACGTCTCTTTCTATCATAGTGAGGACCCTCCATTGACTTCCATTCATTTTTGTGACTCCACTAACCCATACCCTAACCCTGACCATAACCACTGCTGATCGATTCCTAGCCCTAACCTTAATTAAAACTTAATTCACACTATACCTCTAAAAAAGAGTGAGGACCAAAAAATTTCCTCATTTTGAAAAATGTCCTCACACTGTAGGGAAAATGGTCAAAATAGTCTTCAGTAAGTACAAGAACACACACACACACACACAGGAAACACTTAATCTTATCTGGTTCACCTTGACCTGTTAAGCACATTTTGTCACTGTGGCTTTTTTAGTCCAGAGTATCTGCAGATTTAAGGGAGCCAAATATTAGACTTTTTAAGGCCTTTTTTAAGGCCACTTTGACCAAATTTACGCTATTTTTTTAAATTAAATTTAAGCTATAATTTCCAGCTATTGCCTGGAACCGGTGCTAACCACGTCGCGAACGTGGGATTAGCTATCCAGTTACCATTAAACTTGCCCTTACCCATGGCAGAAGCTCCCACTAGCTTAACCAGCTAATGTGCTCACCTAAAAATATACCCCTTTCACAACCAACTGAATGTGTACGGTTCCACTTATGCCAACGTCACACACAAAAAATGCTGAACACTAACTAGAAATTCACAAAAATTTTATAGAAATAAAAGATTCTTGTTTAGTGGGCCTTTGGTAATTTAAGACCTTTGGAAACTGTATCTAATGATTATTTGTCATTTTTAAGAATTTTTAAGGCCTTAAATTTGGAAAAGCAAATTTTTAAGGACCAGCAGATACCCTCTAATCACCAAAATGTAAACTTTCAAAATGAGCCCTGTTTTTTTTATCATAATCATCCTTTTCCAGAAAAGATACTGCACTTTTTTTTGGGGGGGGGGGGGGGGGGATGATTGACTTTGTGCTGTAGAAAAAAAAGTCCCAGTACTCTGAGAGGTAAAAATGAGAAATGCCGGTACTGCGTGCCGATGCGTGCCGGCCCGCTTAAAGCACGGGTCGTATAGGAAACTGTCCTGAATTAAACAATCTGTAACTTATGTGAAACACTGCCATGTTTCGCTTGGTTTAATAAAATGATACTTTACAAGCCGAAATACAATCTACGAATCATAACTTCCAAAACTGTATAAATGTGATTTTACCTAGAGGCTTCCGTGTATTATAAGTTAATAAAATGTTCTAAAAGTACATCCAGTTTCACCTGCGTCATTAATATTTTGGTCTGGCCTTCGTTCTTCTCCTTGAACATCATCATAAAGTCACAAAGTAAGTTGTGATTGTGGTTAATAGTTAATAAAAACCAGCAGGGATAGGACAGAGATAGAAAAGTGCTGACCACATGAACTGATTAGGGTTTGTGAAATGAAGGGGAAGGTCTTTGACTGTGTGGCCATTGTTATTTCCGGCTGAGTTCCATCTAAAAGCAGTAGACTTTTTAAAAACGCTCAGATTTGTTATCATTTTATACCAATAAACATCTTCTAGTCAAAAACGTAACACCTAATGCCACAAATGTGACATATTTTGATTCTAAAGGTTTGATCATGTCAGCTCCAATATCCAGAAGTACCTCTAATAGAATTACTAAAACTTTCAGAATAATAACCTATTCTCATTGGAGGATTTCTAAACACCACTACTGATTCCAAATGATGGGCACTTTGGCCGATTCTGCACATAATTGAATACTTTATAGGTAATTGTTTAAAACACACTAGTTAACTTTATGACCACTGAAAGTCTAAATGGGAAACATGTTACAGTGGCGAAATGAATCAAACAAGTCTCTAAGTGGTTATAACAGAAATGTTTGGAGGACGAATTTGAATGACACTTGGAATAGTGAGTCATCTTTGATTGTTGAATTTACAAAGGAAAGCTGGTGAACTATTCACTACATAAGCGATCCCTACCTACTTTTCACGAGGGCTGGTATCCAGCATGTTTTACTGTTTTCCTGTTTCAACACACCTGATGTTAATCAGCAGGTGATTAACAGGCTTCTGCAGAGCCTGATGAGCTACTGAACAGGTGAAGCAAGTTTGTTGGAGCAGGGAAACAACTAAAGCGTGCTGGATACTGGCCCTCGAGGGAGGGAGTTGGGGATCACTGTGTAATTCATTGTAAACTTATACGGTCAAAAAAGTTGGTTTGATTTAGTTTTACTTAAATTGCAAAAGTTCTTTTTCAACGTATTTGTCATGGAAAAATCTATGTTTATTGATTCCTGATCATGGACTCACTCAACTGACTGTAAATGTATTGCTTTATGTTTCTCATACACACACACATCCTTGTATCCATGCACACACTGACTCTCCCTCTCTCACTCAATGACCTCGCTCCTCCTCTCTTATCTCTCTCTCTTAAATAAACTCTGTGAACAGATATTCGATGCATTTGCTTCGGCATTTTGCCACAGTTATAACAGTTTGACTTGTTTGCTCATTGTCTCCTTTCTCTCTTCACTATAGGAAATGGGTTATTGATAAACATATTGATACAATCCATAACAGTATTCAAAACGTGTGAACACCTTGAAATTTTACTAACTGTGTATGTCCTTTCTTGAACATCATATACGCTGATGACAGTGTCCTCTTTGTGGAAGATTTTTCGAGTTATTCTAATTTTGGTCCATTTGATTATTATTGGGATGTGCTGGTCAAACAGGTCTGTAAACTTCTTGTCTTAAATCCATTCTGTCCAAACTTGGTCCTCGAGGGCCCCTATGGAATGTTTTACAGGTTTTCTGCTCCAACACACCTGATTTAATTGGCAAATGATTAACAGGCTTGTGCAGAGCTTCATGACCAGCTGAACAGGTGATTCTCATATTTAATCAGGTATGTTGGAGCAGAGAAACAACCAGGAGATGCTCTACAGGGGCGCTTAAGGACAAGGGTTGGGTAAAAGCTTTACGACTGACAGCTTGGCCAAGACTTTCAGAAATCAAATGGTATCCATTCCTTAATGCTTGTTGTCATAACATTCCAGCAGATTGGTCCTATACCAGGTCCCTGTATTTTCTAGTTTTACACAAGTATCAATATTTAGTCATGAAACTGGTTGTGTTGGAGGCTTTTTAATGAATTGAGAAAATCTTCAGGGATATTTTTTTTAAATCACACTAAATTGTTTGTTCTAGAGGACAATAACTTTGTTCTAGAATATATGAATGTACTATACTTGATACAATGATTTCTAAGAGCTCTATCTCTTTAACAGGATTGGTATCTTCCTTTATAACTTGCTACTTTAAACTATATACATCCCTAGTGATGAATTGCTTTAGCTACAAAATGTTTACTCCATAAAATTGTAAAATTAGTGAATTGCTTAAAACATCTAGGGAATTTTAGTGCATCATCTAACCTGGTCTTCGTCAAACTGGTCTCCACCAAAGGCAGCCACACAGGGTTTGATGCCTCCTGTTCCCAGAGCGATGAGGATCAAGCCCACCATGGACAGAGCTCTGTTGCCAGAACACAGCGATGTTAACTCACATGTCGGTTTCTGTTGCATCAGACAGCTTCTGGTATGTTCAGCTTACACGTGGAAGGTCATGCTGTCAGGGACGCCATCTTTGTTTGTGTCTGTGATGTCATGAATAGCACTCACAGCCATGACCACCTGTCCCACGGCATAAACGATGGACAGGTAAATGATGGTCCTGTGAGGACGGAGCGGTGAACATTGGCACAAGTTAGAGATGAGGTAAACGTGAGTCAAAAACCCAAGGAGGAACTTTCAAAGCTGACTCCTAGAAATACATTTTAACCCTTCCAACCATGAAAAACCACCAGATAGCCCATAGGCCAGAGGTGGCCACACTAAGATCTCCATCTGGCCCTTGATGTCCACAATATGATTGTAAAAAGAAATAATAGTTATATAGATCCTAGCTTTTACTTCTAGCTTTTACTCACTTTTCCTACTGCAATTATTCATAAATATTCAAACATTTCAAATAACAAAAGAGGTTTCAAAATTTAAAATCAAACCTAAACACCTAAAGTGAAATAAAAATATTGAAATTCATATATAAATGGCAATTCAGACTGCTGCAAAATTGATGTATCTTATCAAAAATAAAGGCTGTGAGAGGACACATCCCCTGTCTAACATCTCATAATTTATCAATGTGCTGGGAGAACCCAGACAGGAAGGTTGGCAAATGATTTATGATCAAACAAACTCACCATCAAAGGGCTCTGAGACCTTCGATAGGGGCCTTCTTCACTCTGGGTTTATTTTGGTAGGCTAGTTTAATTTACATATGCACTAAATATTTACATTCATATGTAAATGTCACAATTTTAATGTAATCTTATATATTTAGGTTGATATTTAGATTTACCGTAACTTATTTTGTTTAGAGTTTGAGTCACTCAGCAGAAATTTTCTCATCATTGATTTTTTTTTGGGGGGGGGGGGGGTACTAACTTGAACTTTCCCAGCCATGAGTCAGCAATTATGGCCCCGAGGATGGGAGTCAGGTAGCAGAGGGCCACGAAGGTGTGATAGATGGTGATGGCGAAGTCATCTTCCCAATTCAGGAAGTACTTGAAGTACAACACCAGCACCGCTACAAGAAACAACATACAAGGACGACAGATTGGGAAGATAAAAGAAGAATTTGTTCACAGGTTGGGTAACTGAAATATTTTATAAAAATTTGCCAAGCACGCCTGCACGTTACACGATTTATGTGGTACTTTATAGTGTAGATTGTCTAAATGCTAGAAGGTGGTGACACATAGTTAAAGCTTTCCAATAAACAACCAAGATCCATTTCCCTCCAATTATTTCTATAAAAAGTTTGAAAACATTTTTTCAAGTTCCCTGAGGCTGAACGTGGTTAACATTAACAAAAACCATCTAAAGCACAAGGCTAGCTAGTTTTTACACTCGGAGAGTAAAGATTTAGCCAAGTACTAAAACCTGCTCAAACCTTCGTTCAGCTAGCTTGCGTACTCAGCTAAAGCTAGCTTCACTCTGATGTTTTGGTCAAATGTAGCTGATAGTCCTTGATAGTGTTTCAGTGAACTGAGTTTGTTGCTTTGTTGTTAAATCAAAGCTTTTAGAAATCGGGCATATTTTTGGACCAACTTGATCTTTCATAGAAAAGCAGCACCATTAGCTAGCTGATAAACGGACCCACCTTTCATGCCATAGTAGGAAAATCGCTCGCAGAACTCGTTGACCACAATAAAGAAGATGCTTATGGGGAAGCCACAGACTGTAGCCTGTATGGGAGGAAATGGAATTCTGAAGATGTGAAACACCAAAGAGGCTCGGATTATAGAAACATGTATATTTGTTTAATATTCTCGGCATTAGAACTTACGCTTTTTCTCTTGAACTCATCTTTGCCTGCAGAAAAAGAAACTAGCGTAAATTAAGCTGTCTTTTGTTCTCATGAAAAAAGCAGAGTAGACTAGTTTACAAAGCTACATAATTATTCTCCACGGTTTGGGAACGTTAATTTCTATAAGCTCCAGTTCCCGGTTTCCAACGTGGTACTCACCTGGCATGGTTGCTTCTGTTCAGTCTGGATCTCCAGTTCGTCAATCTATCAGCAAAACAAGTGATCGAGATGAGCAACCAGGTCCAAGACATCCAAAACCCAGTTTTACCAGGTCCTTTTCTAACCTCCTGCCACGCCCACTGGTTCTGGACTGTGGAACCAAGCAACAACGTTCCAGTAACGGTCTATCCATCCTTATCACATCCACCTGTGTGAGGGCATAATTTTACAGCCCAGGTAAATGAAGGATAAGGATAAGGAGCTTCAGTCAGGACAGGTGATAGCAACTCTCAACCCTGATAACACCAGTTATTTTAAAACGCAGATAGGTTTACACGTGACTGTGTTTATTTAATGTCTTTTATGTGTTTGGACATGAAAATGGTCTGAAAAGGAAGTACTTCATGTTCTTATACGTCAACAAAATTCTGAAATAATAAGTGTAGTATTAGCCTGGAGGAAGGGGGTTGGAGCAGCTGTACTTCTAATCCATCCTACATTAAACACACCTATAGGTCATTCTGAAGAAGTGTCCTTGGGAAACGTGCACAGCAGCAAGTCAGCATGAACAGCTGATAGCAGCTGGCAGCACAGTGGTGGAGGGCTGATGGTTTGGGCTGCATAAAGTCCACAATGAACTGCTCTGTTTCTGGAGACTAATGTGACGTTATCTGTCTTAAAGCTAAAGTTTGAACAAAAGTGATTCATTAAACAGGACAATGATCCATCCATGAGTTCAGGCCAGACCTCCATCTCCCTAGCAACACTATCTACCATCTCCATGATGGATCCCAGGGTATTTCCAGACCAGAGAGGATATATAATTCCTTCAGAGATATCTGGGTCTATTTTTAATTCTCCTCCCATGGGGCATGCCTGGAAAACCTCTAGAGGAAGATGACCTGGAGACATCCAGGTGAGATTAATGAACCACCTCTGGTGAGCCCACCAAACCTCATGACCATTATTGAGGGTCAGACTGTGGACAGACCAGTAAATCAGACCTTTTAGGTCATCTTCTTCTTAACCATGATGGAGTTCGATCAGAGCCCTCAGCACTGCGAATGGAGCTCTGATGTTCATATAGGAAGCCTCAATAAACAGCAGGTGGTCGTAGGCGGACTTAGATTTCCAATCACTGCATCTGCATTTTAGTCTAATCACTCACAGATCCATCTGAAACGCTCCTCCTGATCAGGAGAGCTGGTGTCTAACTCCAGCAGTCATCAGGCCAAAGGTGGGGGACACTGGACAGGTTTCCAGTCCGTCACAGGGACACACAACCAGTCACACTCACTCGCACCAAGGAACAACCACAGAGAAATGCATGTTTGGGTCTGTGGGAGGAAGCCAGAGTAACAGGAAAAAACCCACGCATGCATGTGGAGAACATGCTAACACCACACAGAAAAGGCAGCAGCAAATGTGAAAATTGTGAGGGCGATAACTACTGAAGGATCAGAATGTGACAAACGTGACAAAACCCAAATCCACTCGGCTCTGTCTCAATTCTCCTCAATGTCACACGTTTACGACAGTAGTGACTCACACGATGACAAACACAGATCAGGCTAGCTACACAAATGTCAACCTATGTGTCATCAAAGGTAAAAAAAAAACAATCTTAGAAGATAAACACAAAATTACTGCCTACTTGAACTCCTCCCGGATTCTGATTAGACCTTTATTACTTTATAACCTCTGCTGTTTTACAATCACTGTTTTATTGTCACTTAATCTGAAGATAAAGCTAATGTGGCCCCAATATCCTTAAATGACCATTTCTGTATTTCCTGTTTTTCTTCTCATGCAAAGGCGGGAGACTACTTAACAGTAACTTTACACATTCAATTGTTTGGAGCTGCTTGTTTACTTGTTTATTAGTTTGTTTAGGGTGCAGTGGGGGGTGGGGGGGTGCTCCTTGTGATAGCGGATGGATAGAGTAACTTAACTCAACAGTAACGTGACACAAAGATCAGCATACTATGATACCATTATGCATCGTGAGCATCTCAACCATGGTGTCAGTGGTGCACACAAAACATAACATTTTTAATTATAACAACATTTTCATTGGTAAAAAATATAATAATGACAGTGGTGCATATTACGGTTGATAGAAGACGGTAGAAGCCAAGGGAGCTTCATTTATAGAGCACATTTCATACATAGAAGCAATTCAGAAGCTATTTCATTTATCTAATGAACAGATTTCTGTTTTTAAATGCATTTTTTTATGGATTTTGAATTTGGTAAATGTATCAAACTTTGTTTCCTAAAGTTATCGTGTGGTAAACCTGCAGTTTTACCATTTCTAAATGAATTATTTAGATAAATATCTGTAAACATCTTGACTAAACAGCTTCAACCTATGAGAACAAGGAAAGTTCACAGGCAAAATATGCTCATTCCCTTCTAAATCTTTCCAAAGGGCCAGCTATAAGCAAGAAATGTTGCCTGCTAACACTGCTGTGTTACACTGTCAATTCAATTCAATTCAGTTTATGTATATAGTGCCAAATCACAACAAGTCAGGCCAAACACTATAGGATAATCTAACAACTGCTGTTGAATGTGTAAAGTTACTGTTAAGTAGTCTCCCGCCTTTGCATGACACAGTAAACATTCCAATACAGGTTAGTTCATTAAGCCAGTCAGTAAAAAGTTTCCTATATAAGGAACCCAGCAAATTGCATCAAGTCACTGACTAGTGTCAGTGTCTTTACAGCAATCCTCATACTAAGCAAGCATGCAGCGACAGTGAAGAGGAAAAGTCCTTTTCAACAGGAAGAAATCTCCAGAGGATCGTGGATCAGTTTAAGCAGCCATCCACCACGGCTTGCTAGAGATTGAGAAGACAGAGCAGACACATGCACACAAACCATATATACTATATATAGGTGGTAAAAGACATTAAAAAATCAATTATCTGTCCAAGAGGGTGTATGTACAGTAGAAACAAGAGTGGACCCAAAACAGAGCCTTGGGGTACCCCACAAAACAGATTGATAGAATCTGACATGATTTGGTTCATACAGACACTGTAACTTCTGTCAGAAAGGTACAATCTAAACCAGTCTAGAACAGTTCCAGAGATCCCCACCGAGTCACGAGTTAAGGTGCTGTGATCAACAGTGTCAAAAACTCCAGAAAGACCGAACAATACTAACACTGTGAATTCCCAAAGTTGTACGTTTTCTAAGGGAAGAAATGGACCGCTTTAAATAGTTTCATTGTTATCTTTACTGTCTTCACTTCCCTTAAAATACCTGTTCTGAAGTATCTCTCAAAGGAAGCGATAAGTCAACAATAGTTTTATAAACTCATGAGAAATCAGTTATGGATGAGGGATGGTATACGACATGTTTTTGGTGAGAGGTGATGACCGAGTCACCGTGACTATTAGCGACCGATTCTTCTTCCGGCTCTTGGAGAGTACAGACGCTTTTTTCTCCTCTCCCCCCCTCCTTATCCCAAGGCTCTTTGTCCTGTCTTTGTGTGCACGGCGCTTTCTGCATCTTTTCTGGAAACTGGAAATTATTAAAACGGATCTGGTCAGTTGGTCTCTCAACGCGACTGACAAAGTGTTTTCACCGATGAGAACGGGAGAAGGGGCTCCCGGATGCCCCTCTGGAACAGTGCCAGCTGGGTATATCATGAACTCCTGGAAACAGTGGAACCTGATATGCCTCTCTCAACTGTCAGTAGAGGATTCTGAAGATGTTTGGAAATTCGTCGTTTTGGTGTCAGGATTCCTGCTGTTTGGTTACCTGGCTTACCGGAAAATTAACGAGCTTTCGTGGAAAATTGGCTCAATCCCAGAGCTCAGGGATGGAATGCATCGTGTTGTGAATGCACAAACTCATATAATTGTCGAGATGAGTCGTAAGCTTGGAACTTTGGCTGAGATTCAGGCTCTGGCACAGAAGGTGGATTCCATCAAGGAGCGAGTTGACGGATCAGCACGGTTTGGGATAGATTGATTACGCCATTATTGGACCTGGAGGGGTTGAAGATCAACAGAACTCTAAAGCAGAGAGGAAATTATCTCTGCCTGTAACCAAAGTAATTCTTATCTGAATCTGGTGCCCTTGAAGCCTGCGAGGCTGAAATGTAAACTCCCCCCTCAGAAGAAATGTGGAATGCTGCTGTCGCCATGGAAACTCTTTCTCCCTATCCCAGCCTGGGCGGGACTGTGACCGGTGAAGGACGTGGGACCGTATCTAGGAGTCGCTGTGCCCTCTAACCCATTATCTCCCTCCCCTGTCCAAAAAGGAGGTGATGAGCGCTGCCCCAGGCGGCTGCACGCACTGAAGTGAGGAGAGTCCCAACCCTACCTCCTCACCTAGTGGACACTTACGTGTGTATCGTCTGAAGTCTGTCTGCATTTCTGTCTGAGGTGTTTTTTTGCATAGCAATGCTATCCTTTTTGTAGAGGGTAACTCTGAAGTGCCTTTTTTCCCTCCCCCTGACTCTATCCTCATATAGACCCTCTTGATCTATAACGGTAGCACGACTCTGGTTGCGAATGACCACCGTCACCAATTCTTGTCATGTGTCTATGTATGTATGTCTGATCTCAGAATTGTGTGTACTGAAACTCTAATTTCCCTCTGGGATTAATAAAGTACTTTTGAATTGAATTGAATTGAAATGAACTGAATTGAACTGAATTGAATTGAATTGAACAACAAGAGAACATTGGGCTCAAGTGGAAAGGAGAGTAATTAACTCCATGTATTCCTAACTGATTAACAGGGTTGGAACAACATTGAGAACCTTGCACATTTATAATCATCAATAACAGAAAACACAGAGGAAGAGATTCCCATCTTTATTTCTGATAGTGATAATCAGTGTTACCCCTTCTTTCCACCGGAGCCGTCAGCAGCACGTTACTGCAGCAGCACGCCTTGCTCGCGTAAGCTGCTGCTTGGCCCTTCCCACGAGAAGCGAAGCAGCAGGGGAGCAGCTGTCACCGACAGAGCACGAAGTCACACGAGTGACTTTGTCAGTAAACACAACAACAAGCAGGAGAAAACTACAACATGGCTCCAAAATGTTTGTGTTTTATGTTCTGTCCGTTTTATAATCGCCAATACGGACCTGAAAAACAAAGGAGGCCGCTAGCTAGGTGATAACTTCTCACGGG